AGGGAGAGCTTTATTCCATGGGAGCAGTCAAGCCTGAACTGAATGTTCTGCTTTATATGTCAGGGTTGCAGGAATGAGTTACAAGAGCAAAGCTGTTTGAAATAATTCAGGATGTCAGAAATAGGGAACGCTCAGCTTCCATCAGAGAGTGATGTACAAAACCCAACAAATGTGCTCAGAGACAGAATAACAAAATGCTGTCTGTGTCTGCAGTAACATGTGTGTTCTACTCTGCTGGAAAGTGCAGAGGAAACCAAAAAAAGAAGAAAAGAAAAGCAGTGGCAATTCCAGATTGTCAGTGTAAGTGCCACCAGCATGAGGGGCCTCTGGGAGCTGAAATCAGGCTCAAAGGGCACTCGGGGAGCATTTAAGGCCAGAGCTTGGCCATCAGCTCAGAATCTGCTGTTATTAGCACGGGCTGCAGTATTTCTACAGTTGCATTTAAATAAATGCAGCAAACCTAAATGGCATTTTTACTGAAAGGAGACACCAGGAGAGAGTAAGTAATAAAAAGCAGGGTAGCTTGGGCACTCAGTGTGTTGTGGGAGCTGCAGGTGCTCTCTGGAAGGAGCAGTGAGCACTCCTCTGGTCGTGTTTTCTGTCGTGCCAGCTCTGTCTCTGAACTCGCCCGGGCTCTGTTCGTGTTCACTAACCCCAATTGTGCTCCAGGGTGTTCCTGCAGTAGCATAAAGGATGACCTCTTGTATCCAGCACCTTTTTGCATGGGTGGAGTGGAGAGCAGCTCTCCGTGAACCTTCAGCTTGTGCTTCTCCATGCTGCTTCCTCTGAACGCTCCTCTCTCTTTGGCGCTGCCTAACTCTGACTCTGGCTGTCCATGGGGTTTTCCTTTGTGCTTGATCTAACCATGTGGTAGAACAATACAAATGGAACATGGTTCTGTCAAGCACCATGGAAGGCTGCATACTCCCTGCAGCATGGCATGCCTGGATACTTCTGCTGGGGCAGAAGCATCAAAAGGTGAGAGATTCCCATTCCCTTTCCCTCTCGGCACGGTGGAACTGGTGGAGTGTTGCTAACCAGGCTCCCAGGGAGCCACAGAGATGTTTGCACAGACTTTCCACAGGGCTTGCATGCAGAATAACCATTTCTAAGTCATTAGAATTACTGCATTTCTAAGTATTTCTATGGAATTAATCTGTTTAACTGCTCTCACAATGAAGGAGTCAGGCGTTCTGCTGGTTGATAATGTTCAAGGGTGATTCCAGTTATACCTACAGAGATTAAAAACCACTTTTGTCTCCTTACCTTGTGCATAATGTAAGCTGCATCTGTCTGTTTGAACTGTCCAGTGAATCCCTCTGCTTGAGGTACACTTTGGATGCCATTGCTGCAACAAGACACCTGCCACTCAGTGTAACTTTGGACCTGCTCTTAATGTGCTGGCATTGCATTGCGAACAAATATAATGCAAAAAAACCCTTCATAAGAGTCTGCAAAGCATTGTTTTCTTCACTTGAAAATGACATGGCTAACATGGCCTGTTTGGGAGCATCACTATCCAATAATTCCAGAGGGCAAAGCTAAGTCAGCAAAGCCAAATGGGCCATTTTAGCTTGGACAGCTTAGAAAAGATCTTCACAATAGTTCTGCCTAACTCCCCCCTGTACAGAGATAATGACACCTATTCATAAAGGACTTTGAGAGTCTCATACAGAAGTTTTCTTACATTGAAATATTTCCTTGTCTTGCAAATTTGTCACATCTCTATTGTGGAGCTGTCAAAAGAAGGACATGCAGGATTCTTAGATTTTATCTGTAGTTACTGATAAAAATTAACAATAGCAATGTGAAATTATGACCAAAAAATGCACTTCTTTTTTATTCCCTATGAGAATTGTGATCTCGTGGTTGTATGAAGAACTTTTGAGATTCCTGGGTCTTTCATTCAAGTTTTAGACTATCTGATCTCAATGGTCATACTTTTGGTGCCAAATTTGAGGCAGCTGGATCATTTTCTGGAATGAATGTGTCAGGTCACTTTTGAGACAGCCTGATTCGTAGCAGAACAGATCCTCCAGAACTCCTTTTAAGCCCTTTGGACAAGGCTAAGTTTTAAAAACTGAAATCAGGTTTTCTAAACAATGCTTTAAAAGAAGAGTAGAACAAAAAGGTATTTCTCTCTGTTGCCTGATTCTCCACGTGGGTATCAGAAAGGCACACAGAATGTTTGAGCACTTGGAAATGTGGTGTTTCTTTATCTCAATGCTGCTGTTCTGCAGAATGCCATGGTGTGTTTGTTTTATGATAATAAGAAATCACAGTACCTGATAGAAGTGTCACATTGGTTGTGAAATAAAAATGTTATCAGAGTAACTAACAAATCAAATAACTACAACTGCCCTCAGTTACACACGGGCCTTGCTGTTGCCTTGGCTACTTGTTTTACAGCAAGCTTTAATTCTTCCTCATTTGGGGAATTGCTAGGGACTGTTGGGTCATGTTCTGTCCTGCATCTCTTTTCTGTGCCTTTCCACGATGATTTTATAGTGCACAAGGAGTATTCCATGCCTGTGGTGCTGAGCTGTGTTTCCTGAGTCCTGTTGTGTTCTCTCAGAGCCTGGCAGTCAGGAGGAATGGATATGTGTGCTTAAACAGCTCTGCAAGCAGATGGCTGCATTTCACATTGCTATCCCAGATGGGAATATCTTAATAGAGCAGCCACCTGTCCAAGTGATCTCAAGGCTCAGGTCAAACAGTAAATTTTATCAAGTCTTTGGCAGGTGATTTCTGCTGTCTCTCAGGCTAAGAGATGGCTGAGTACTGGCTGAGCACATACAGGGTGTTGATTACTTTTGACTCAGTGATTACCTGAGTAACTCTTGTTTAAACTCAAAAAGAAAAATGAAAAAAAAATTAGAAAGAGAGAGAAGGAACAAAAAGTGTGAAGGTGATGTTTGCTCCCTTCCTCTCCTGCTGAGCTGAGGCCTTTCCCCTGTTTCAGTGGTGGCACAGATGCCCAGGCAGCACCAACTTCTGAGAGCTGCTGCAGTGTGGAAGGTTGTGTGCCTCACCAGCAGGAGGATGGGTGCCAAGTCAAAGAAGTCAAAGTGTGATAAAATTCTGTATTTGTTCAGCCAGAAAGCTTGAGAGAAAACCAAACATGTATTTTTCACCCTCCAGTGTTATACACTGCTTTTTCTCCTTCATAAGGAATTCCACTCTCCCATCCCTTTTCCCTGTGGGAAGGTGAATCTTGTATCCATCAGCAGACTAAAAATTTTGCTTAATAAATGTTTACCCTATGAAACTTTACATTGTTTGTGATTATTTTTTTCAACAAAAGCTTTTACTAGGAAACTTAGTAGTGCTTTTTCAAGGGTTAAGTTGGAGATTTCCAAGACACTTTCTGATCACTGATTGTTGGTGGGTTATTCAATGTGTACTGTAATTGTAGCAATTTTAATAAACTCTGGTTCTGATAACTGTTTGTCTTTGGTATTGTTTCTAAGGAATCATAAACAACTAAACATTCTGACTACCCAGCTTGGAATGTCTAGGACTGGAAATAAAATGTTAGATTTTTTTTTAAAAGGATAAGTGTTTAAATGATAATGGTGTGGGTAAACTCTTAGACTGTATTTTTATAATGCTTTACAATGCCCACTGGTCCTAATACTTTAAGTGCTGTTCTGTCAGGGAAGTTGCACTTTAGATGTATAATTTATAATAAGCACAAAAACCAGCAAAGAATTTAGCACCGCTGAAGTAGCAAGGTACAAATCTGTATGTCAATGTTCCCATAACCCAACTTGGAATTACAAAACTAAACCCAAGTGTGTCTGTGGGATCGGACTGTTAGATTGCCTGTAGAATTGCTTTTTTTCACTGCATCACCTGGTGGAGATAATGCATAACATAAATTAAAATAATAGTGGATTTAGGAAATGTCTTTTTTCTCTCAGAAAATAGTACATGGTCATAAACTGGGCACTGGTGTATTTATCAGTCAGGAAGGGGAAGCAGGTGATGAATGTCGTCAAGGCTCCATAAGCAAATTTCAGGTTGGGCTTAAGTTTTTGTTGATGTTTTTGGGTTCTTAAAACATTTGTTCAGTTCCTCTCTCTGAGAAAGGCTTGTAATTGACTTTTAAAAATTTGGAAACCTTGAAAAATGCTTCTTGGTAATTACAATCCCTGGGCCTTGCACGGGGCTCCTGCAATGGTTCTGGTGCTTCCATTATGAAATACGAAGTGAGTGGGCAGGAATTGCATGGTGGGGGTTTGGCAGCACTTTGCTTACACACACATTTATTAATCCTCCAGGTTCCTTGAAACACTGAGATCGAGTTTCCAACCTGCTGCTATTAAACAAGAAAAACCAAACCTGAAAAGGACAGATTAGTTCACTGAGCCTAATTGGAAAAGCATTTCATTAGAATGGGTCAAAAACCCAGTCAAAGAGGTCTGGCAATCACAGTGTAATGGTACATCAGGGAGTGCTTCTCACTAAGTATGCTCTACCCATTCCTTAATTAAAATGAAAATGATTTAAACTGCTATTACTTTCCTTTGCTGTTTGTTTAACATAGTTAATAAAGATATCTAATTATTGGAAAGTTGACAAGGTTGTCTAATAAAAGATTGCTCTGAAAAACAGCTCTAATAGCTGAGGTCTGAACATTTGGGACTTTCAAATGGTATCTTTAAAAGTCTTTTGTCATTTGAATTCTTTCATGAGATGCCTTTTCCTTGTTGCTGGACTAAGTTCCAGATGGGAAAAAAGTGACTTTGCTGGAAAATACCTTAACAGGTAGGCTTGTTAGACAAGGAATTATTCTGTTAAGGGGAGAGTGAAAAACCAGGGACAAGTCTTGGGAGTAATTTTAAAAATTGCTGAGCACAAGTCCTTGGCAAGTGTTAGAACTGTGTGCAGGAGCTGGGGGATGACAGGAGGCAGTGCTGAGGATGGATTCCATGGTACCTCTGGTCACTGCAGTTCTCAACAACTGTTGGCTGGAATATATTTTCCTTTCATTGCAGGCTCAGAGGATTACAGAAGTAAATTCACTGGGAAGTGCTTCATGGACCTCGTGTGTCCCGAGAAGTGTCGCTGTGAGGGGACAGTGGTGGACTGCTCCAACCAGAAACTCACCCGGCTGCCCACCCACCTCCCCGAGTACACCACTGACCTGTGAGTGTGCCTCTGACGCGGCTCTGCAGCCTCACTTGTTGCTTTTCCGAATTTTTAAAGGCTGTAAAAGCGACTCAGATGGTTAAAGGCACCTCCTGCTTTTATCCCTGTGTGAAAATGGGAATGCTATTTTTATTTCATTTTCTTAGCACCAGCCCTGTGTCCTTCTCCAATGCTGGCCAGGCCCAAGCTGTGTCCTTCCTGTCCAGCCTACTTTGGAGTCCTCTGCCTTTGCACCTGGCCATTTTTATTGAAGAAGTGTTTTTAACCATTTGAGTGAATCTATGATTGGGAGCTCATTGCATCTCAGCATTGCCTGCTACTTGGGTGGAGCAGGTCTTATTAAATTAATGTAACCTCAAGACATTTGAGTATGAGAAAACATTTTTATTGCTTAGCAACTGAAGATTCTGGTTCTTTTCTTGCATTAGTAGAAAACAGAATTTTCTTTTTTTTGAGTTAGTGTTGTATTTATTGTACTTATTCTATTTAAAACCTGATAAAAATTATTGATCTGAAGTCAAGAAAAAATATGAGAGATATACAGAAATGCAGCAAAGACTCTGCATAGCAAAATGGAGCTATGTGCAATCAGAGAATGAATTTTACATGCCAAGCCTGCCAAGACAGTGGCCTTCACATTCATTTTGAAGATCAGCAGACTTTTATAGGAAAGAAGCTGAAATCAGAACCCTTTTGGTTACATGGCCCCATCTCCAGTTGCGTGCCTGGTGTAGCAGAGGCACCACAGAGGTTCAGTCACACACAGGGGGTTTGTGTGCAATGGATTAGCTCAATAATTCCTCTTCCCATGCACTGGGAGATGAAGGGGCTCTGACACTGTCCTTTGGCATTACACTCTTTAGGGCATCCTAAGCTTTCACTGTAGATACTCCTCTATGTCCTTTTTCCTTCAAAGCTAAACTCTTTTACCTGTAGGAATCTGGGGGAGATGGCAGGGAGTGCCTTGCTTAACAAAGGTCATGGTTCTCTGTGTGGCAGCCCTGAATGTCACAGGGATGGATTTACAGACATCTGGGAAGCATTAAATATCTCTCTGTTTGTTCCTCTCAGGCGTCTCAATGACAATGATATTTCTGTTTTGGAAGCTGTTGGACTCTTCAAGAAATTGCCCAACCTCAGGAAAATGTAAGTCTGAGTTTCTTGTTACCATACAGGCAGCCTTGGATTGGAAGGAAGCAGGGAGGGATGAGTTTTTGTATTTATGTAGTGCAGTAGTAGAAATCACTTTTTTAATGTGAGTTTAATGAAACTGAAGGAGTTCCCTGTTGGATGGACAGGCACAGTTTAACCACACTGACAGATGAAGACCCCTAGGCTGACATTTCAGTGGGCTTTTAAGGCTACATGTCTTAGTCTTTCACTCAGAGACTGACAGAAATTCTGTCCCAGAGTTTATTCCACTGTATGCTTATTGTTGGAGATGATTATGACATTTAGCATTTTGGTTTTGTCTCTCAAGTGTATTGTGTGCCTCCAGCTGTGCTGTGGTTGTTTCAGATAGTCAAAGGAAAATCATATTACAAGATATGGACAATGGCAGCTTCTGGTGATCATTATTGGTTTAGAGAGGAGAATAAATCAGCAAACATATAGATCAGTCATTCAAATATTGCTGTATAATTCTGCTGACAGTTCTGGCACAGTGTATTGTATATATTTAATAAAAGCAGTGTTTTAGAAAGAGAATAATATGTCAGATACCTGCTGATAGTCTTCAAAATGGATCCTTCTGAAGTTATTTAGAGTTTTAACCCTATGGACCCATTGCTAATGTCTCATTTAACTGTTTGCTTTTAGTAAGGTTTTATTGTCTGGATCAAGCTAATTTAGGGAACCCAACCAACCCAGGCAATTTGTTCTGCATTTGTTTCACGTGGTTTCTGCCATCTGGAGCTTCCTGGCCATTTGAGTCCCTGTGAGATCTCAGGGGCTTTGGAGGCAACTGTAGTGGGATTCTTTTTAATTCTGCAGGAGTTTCAGATGCAGCACTGCAGGCTTGGGGTGGGGCTGTATCTGTGTAAGTACAGCCCATCAGGCTTGGGGAACTAATCACAAACATTTGCCTCATGTTTTATGAATGATCAATAATTTGTAGCTACAGTGCACTCAGAAAATGATGTTGACATTGTTAAGTGCTCTGTTCCCTGTGTAAGTAGATAGTAAACAGGAATGAAAAATGCATGCTATATAAGAGTATACACAAACTGGAAAGCATCTGTCCTCATCAAACCTTCAGGATTTATGTTTTGAAAATTGGAATAATTTGTTTTTATTTAAATGTTACAGTAGGGAAGTACAGTGCTGTCCCTCCTGTCCTCATCGATCGCTCAGAGGGAGGGATGCCTCGACAAGGGCTGTATTTTGGGCATAAATCCAGCATGAAACCATTGTCAGGGATTTTTAAGAGTTGTTTCTTGTGAAACCAAAGATTCTTTTATCTGTCCTTGGTGGCTGCTGAGATCAGAGGTGTGCAGGAGCAGGTCAAACTCATGGCAAAAGGAATCTGCACCCTGCACAGGGTCTCTTGCTGGGGTTTAGTGGCAGCCTCCAAGCAGAGGCTCTTAATGAAATCTTTGTAGCTGAGCTCATTTCTTTTGTTCTGCCTGATGCTCTAAAGAAGTTTCTCCATTTTAATTAAAGGGATTTTCTGAAAACAGTGGTTTTTCATATGAGGATACCAACATTTCAACCACAACTTTATTCAGTGGCCTGATCCCTAAAAAGCCAGATTAGACTTTTTTTTTCCTGTTTCTTCCATTTTGTGAAAAAAAAAAAAAAAGGGGTTACCAGGAAGAAACAAGCAAACAAACACCCAAGTTATTATTTGACCTTTACTAGGCCAAATCCTTCTGCTAATGAAAGTCCCCAGCAAGGAGGGAAATGTGGGCAGTGCCTCAGATGGGATTGCTGCTGAATCAGAGAGGAAGAGCATTGATCCAGTCCCCACTTTTGAGTGTGTACAGGGGACCAGAAACCCAACTATTATTTGATTGACAGTATTGACTCTGTCTCATCATATATTCCTTGTCTGCTTAAGTGTTAAAGGCAAACAGCAGGTGGAGGAATCTGTCTGGAAATTGAATTGTTTCCTAGGCTTAAGAAAACAGCTCAGAGCTTTGCAGTGGCAGGGCATTAGCCTAAATAATATAATTATTTTTCTTTATTTTTTCTCTGAAATACTCTTTTTTTCCAAAATGCATCTGAATATCTGTAATATGGATATCTGAAGGGCATTTGAATGCTTTTCCTCTGGTTGTCTTTCGCTTGAGTTTAGGAGTGGTGACAGATCCATGCCGAGGAACTTGGAAAATAAACTTCATTTCAGGGAGTCATGGTTACACTGTGGCTGGTAAAGCTCCAGCAGAATTCCAGAGAGAGTCAAAATGATGGGGAAAAAGGGGAAGTGTCAGACCACCTTTGCAACAACCCCACTTCTAATATGCAATTAGCTCTTGTGCTGTAATTTGTCTGCAAATAGTCCTCCTAAGCTGAACCTCATTGTATGACGTGCCAGCCTAGGATTTAATACATTTTAATGCAAAACAAAATTGAATTCTTGATATAAAAAAGGAAAGGTCAGAGATACATAATGCAATGTGATGCCACATTTTACTTAGGAATTAAATAGCTAAGATTACCCTGCTGGTTTTTAAAAGGTTAACATATCTGAATGTGCCTTTAAAAAAATAATCAACTTCAATAATTAGCTGCAAAATCCCATATACACAGTGTGGTTTTCACAACCTAAATTTTAATTTTCTTTATATTTAATGCTTTTTACAGTAGAATGAAAAGATTGGTATAGATTCTTCCAGACAGGTCTCATCCAGTCCAGAAGTAATTTACTGGGTTCTCCAGTGACCCCTGTTTTGCTTTTATTGTGTTTTTACTGCATGGCCTGACCTGGTCTTGCCTGTGCAAAGGGAAAGCTGAAGGCTCTGAAGGCTGAAGTCCCATCCCCATCCCACCAACTTCAGGTTCCAAGGACTGTGCTGCTGGTATTTTGCAGTGGTTAGCAAAGAGCACTTTGGATCTGCCTGGAGTGCAGCAGAAACACAAGGATGCATTTCTGAGCTCTTTAGGAGTGGGAGCAGCTCCAGGACTTTTTTGGGGAGGTCCTAAAAGGGCTCCAGGAGCTGCTGCCCTCCAGCCATGGCAGCTGGAAGCTGCTGCTGCTCACAGGGAATTATGCTTCCAATGCAGAAACAACAGGGAATTGTGTTTCCAATGTTCCCAGTGGGAGATCTCACTCAACACATCAGGGATGTCAGACAGGGAGAGGGGAGGCATCCCCATTCACAGAGGTGAAGTTTTGGCTTCTGTGGAAGGCAGCAGTTAATTTCCTGCAGCAGCCACCAAAATCAGCATGAATCAAGCCCTGGGAGCCCCACCACTCCCTGGCAATGCCTCAGCTGTTAATTAGAGAAAAAACCTTCCAGTGCCTGGGGACTCCCATGGCAGTGGGAGCCTGCAGGGGCTCCCTGGCCATGACAGGTTCAATGTCCAAAACCCCCCAGATATCTGACTCAGGGAGCACAGAGAGACCCTGAAAGACTTGCTGAAATGGGATACTGACCCACAGGCAGAGGCTGGAGCCCCCAGATGCCATCTCTGGAGCTTGCCCACTGCCCTGTGCCTACAGGAAATCAGTGGCCATTCCCACTGAGGTCTCAGCTGCTGTTTCTGCAGGGGAAAAAAATTCAGCAATGAGCTCACATTCAAAATAGAGAGGTGAACTGCCATGCTTGATGCACTGCTGGGGAGAAAGGGGACTGACCTCTTCTCTTGAGAACAAGACTAATGAAAAATGTTTACCTCAAAACCTGAAAGGGTCATCTAACAGTTCATTCAGTTAAGCCTTGCCAAAGTTACAAAGTGAACATATAATATGGTTTTTATTATAAGAAATGTCAGGCTGTCTTGCCAATAGCTGGTACTGCCAACCCACCTCCAGCATGTAATTGCCTTTGGAGGCTTAATTTGGCTGTAAGTATTCCTGCTAGATTGAACTGTATGGAGTGTCAGACCAGGATCTGAACATTTTACATGTGAAATAAAATTGAATCGTGATAAAGTCTGTGGACTAGGAGTCAGCTTCAACACCAGGATATCAGGTTTCTTGGGGAGGCAGAAGTAGTTTGTGCCCTTGGAAACAGATGTTACCTGTTGTTCCCTCCCCTAAGCATGAATTTTGCCATGGCAAATGAGGTTGCAGTCATTTGTTACACAGAACCAGACTTTATTTTCTGGAAATGGGGCTGTGTTGTGCTTCGTGCCATTTGGGCTCAGTGTGGATTTTACAGCAAGGCCATCAGTCTGCTCTGCTGGATGAGTGCAGGGCTGTCACAGGGTGCAATTCACTGTCTGTGTGTAGCATTTCAGGCTTTCAGTGCCATGCAGCTCCTGAGAACAGCTCACACCATCAAACCCACACTCTTGGTAAAGGCTGTAAAACCCCCTCAGCATCCTCCAGAGGAATGCAGCAGCACTGGGATTTTCCTGCTCACATGTGCTTAAGGATTCCAAGCACATCTCCAGCAGACAGAGATATTCTAGGGAAACCCCCCTCAGAACAGGCTGGTTTTGTGCAGGGCTGGAGGTGAGACCAAGCAGATCTTTTGAGGCTGCAGATCTCTCTCAGGGGTTTTCCAGATGGGAAGGGGTGTCAGTAACTCAGCACTGGGGAGCTGCCATGCTGACATTGTCCCAGCAGGTACAGCAGGGTGGATGCTTCTGTTAATTCTGAATAGAATCCAGCTTGCTCTTGAAGTTATGAGATCAACAGAAATAATATTATTATAAACTTCAGCCATAAAGTGAATAAAATGTGACTGAAAAGTGAGCTGTGTGAACAATGTCACCTTGATAGCTTCTTGATCTCTTCATTTCCTATTCACAGCCCCCCATAAAGCAGACCCAGGCTTTCTGAAAATTTATTTTGACCTCCTGCCCAAAATAAAAGTCTGGAAATAGGATTAAATGTTATCACCAGGGTAAATCAGGAAGTCCTTATGGAAAAAGCCTGCAGGAGTTACCAGGCTGAGGTCAGGCTGGCTCCCATTTGGGTCCTGCCAGAGGGCATAGGAGTCTCAACACTCAGTTTCTTTTCCACTGTCTTCCAGTATTTCAAGAAGAATTCCTGGTAGGAGCTCAGTGTTGCAAGAGGATGGGGCTTTTCTGTAGTGGGAGTTTGCTATAAAATTTTAGTAGGTTTTTTTCTGATAAAAAGATTCCTTGTCAAGTGTGATGATCACATATAAAAGAATCTTTTAGAGCTGGGAAGGATGGAGTTAGAGGTCTCAGAGTTGCAGACCAGGCAAAAGGTTACAGTGCTTTCATTTTTTAAGCTTTATACCAGCTGATTATTTTTCCTGGTAACTCTTAGACTGAAAAGTATGTAATTCTTCATGTTTATTATTCTAGCTGTTCAGACTTTAGGAGGAAACTTTTTTTTTTTCCTTTTGGTGACTGAATGTTGTCATCTACCACTTTTTTTTTTTTTTTTTTTTTGTTGCATTCTGATATGGGAAACTCCAACTCAGGAAGACAAATAACAAAATCCAGGTTGGCAGAACATCTGCTTTGACAATACTTCAGGCAGGATTGCAGGACTGTAACATCTTTACCTATTTATTACTGCAGAGCTTCTCCTTTCTCTGCCTTGCAACTTTGATTTCAGCATAATGTTGGACTTTCAAATCTTTTGCATGGGAAAGGTATTTATAATTGGCTTCTTCTGAGGCTGCTGGCATATTTATGGGTAATTCTGTCTTGCTGAAAAGATCAGGCATTATTAACTCAAATGAGCAGAGTTGCCTATCTGCTGAAGTCCTTTGGCAGCAATTAAAATTCAGATGTTAGCACATGTATAAAGTGCCAATTCCTTTGCAAATGGTGCCCAGCTTTTGTCTCCAATATTTGCTCTTTTCTGCCTTCAGTATCTAATAGACCATTAAAATTGCCCCCGTGTTTTAATATATGTACCTAAATATCTTTTATATGGCAAAAAGTAACTAATAAAACTTTACAACTACAACTGTAGGTCAGTTTGCAATCTGCAAAGTCTTTGTCTATTTTAGCAACTCACCCTCCCTTCCCACCACAAACATTTACTTACTTATTCTGTGCAAATATGCATCATGGCATGATCTTTACCAGGAGGGGCATCTTTGGGAGCATTTATTTATGCCAGCATTCAGAAGAGATGCTGAGCTATAAACATTTCCACTGAAGAAATAGCTGAGCCCCAAAATTAAATGCATATGTCAGAATATCCTCCCTTGACTTGCTTTGACACTGAACATAAACTCTTCATGTGAGCCTTAGCACAAAGCACTAAACTTCTGGAAAGAGAAATCTGCCTGTAAGTATTTCTAGATGTTTTTATGTTATTTTTGGCTGATTGCTGGCATGCTCCTATTCTTTCTGATCACAAGAAAGCACAAGAGGTGATGGGCCACATGCTGTAGGCCCCACTCTCTGACAGTTGTTCAGCAGACATAAACCAGTGTACTCCAGTTTCCCACATGAAACATATTTCCAAGGCTCTTTTTTTTATTTTATTTTATTAAGTGATGACTTCTGAAAAGAGCAAGACCCACATTATTTCTATCTGAGGCCAAGCTGTCCTCTTTCCATGTCTTCTGTCAACTTTTATCCCAGTAAGGTTGCCAGCTCTTCTGAGCAGGGTAGCCCAGGTGTTAATCTGATACCTTGTCATTTGTTTTATATCACCTGGAATTGGATTTTGAAACTATTACTCATGCTGTGTCTGTACTGGGATCATTTCTGGAATAATGTGCTATTCTGCATGAGTAATGGTGTTGGAATTTAGCATCTTCTTGGGAGCAAGAATATATCTTGTACTTTATCCTTTTTGTTGTAGATAGTAAAACAAAGACCAGTGTTTCCTGTCATAGACCTCAACAAATAGAATTATTCATCATAATCTATACAGGACATCATGGGAGATATTTGAAGGACTCAGGCTCAAAGTTTTAATGTGCTTAAGGCCTTCTATATAAATGTTTTAAATAATTAAATGCCATTTATTTTTATGCATGATGGCACTTTTATCATTCAGAAATTGTCTGTTCATGGGGGTTTTCACAAATATGAAATATTCAAAAGATTAATTTTGCATTTCAGGAGAACTTCATTTGACTTTGTAGATCAAAGTTTTCTTATATGGATCTATAAGCAAACATCTTGTGACTGTATAGGCAGAGTAAACATTTAGAAAATAATGCTGTGTATTGCAGTGGCTGTGAATTGACAATCAAGTGATACTTGTTTCATTTGAGTGATGTTTTTTTATTTAAGTGCACATACTAAAGTTGGTATCAGATACATGGTACAGTGGCTAAAAGTGGTCCATATTTCAATTTGTGACACCATTTCAATGGCAGTAGCATTAACTGACTCTTGCCAGATGAGCACCCACACCCAAGCATTGTCCATAACTTCATGGACATGAATCAGATGCTGGAAACTCCCACTTACTGTTTCCAGAGACATGGATAAGAAACAGCTACATGAGGTATTAAAATCTAGTAACTGCATTAATTTAAATGATCTTGATTTGGCTGAAATAATTGTGGTTCTGATGAGTGCAAGGGAGCTGTTTGTAAGAACAGCAGGAATTCCTTTGAATTTCTGGATGCTCTCCTTGCTGGATGGATAGCTCTCTCTAGACAGCCACTAAAACAAACAAATTCTTCCTATCTCCCTCCCTCCAGTGTGATATTTGGAATAAAACACTCCTGATTTTCTTACTGTCACTGGGTGTGTCCTTGCAGAAACCTGAGCAACAACAAGATCAAGGAGATCCGGGAGGGCGCGTTCGACGGCGCCGCGGGCGTGCAGGAGCTGATCCTGACGGAGAACCAGCTGGAGGCCGTGCATGGCAGGATGTTCAGGGGCCTCACGGGGCTGAAGACCCTGTAAGTGAGAGCCCTGGCTGTGCTCCTCCCTGGGCAGGCTGGGAGGGCTCAGGCTCAGCAGTGCCTGCTGCTAAAATATCTGTAATTACACAGCCAGTGCTGCTGCTCGGCCTTGAGGCTTTCAATCTATCTCTGGTTTGAGATTTATGAGCTATTTCTGTAAAATGGACGGATTTTCACAGCGCTGACATGATGGGGGAACCTGTCATGTGTCAAATTTGTGCACTTCCAGTCGTTTAATGCTTTTATTATTTTGTTATTTCCTCTGGAAACAAGATATTCAGGAACATGTTTCCTATCACTTTGTCCATCCTCCCACTGTTCCTCCACCCAAACTGGAGCTGTGCTGTAGAAAGAAAGCTCTTGACTAGGTAGGGCTGTCAAGAAATAGACTCAAGGAATCAAAATACAATTAAAATCTGCAATTTCATTAGCAAAAAAATACTACTTATGTTGGAAGCTATCATGACACAATTAGTACAGTCCTTACTCAAGTGTAAAAAGAAACTGAAGTTTCCTTTCAAGGACTTTGTTCTGTGATGACAAATACGGAACTTTTGCTGTTCCATTAACATTTTTTGTGGTTACAGCCATCTGTTCTTCAATTTAATGTATGCACTTTACTAAGGGATTTGAAAATACTGCCCATAGATATTAAATTAATTTTTATACTGTAAAGCAGCCTGTGGCAGTGCTCCTAAACAAAATTCAGCATTTTTTAATAAAAAGATGCTTAACATTCAAGCTATCCTGCTGACCTGACCTACATTTCCCCCAGCTGATAAAGCAGTCTAAATATACACAGCATGATATGAGGATTTGTGAGTCTAAGTGTTCTTTCAGGAAGGGCACACAGTGCATGGTGAACCATGATATGAAACCAAAGGGTTTGGCTTGAGGGACACATATTGCTATCCATTAATTGAATTTCTTTCAGCATTAAAATAGTAATCTTTTGCAAAGGGGCTGCATTTGTCAGGGTCATGGTCCAGCTTTTAAAAGGCTGTATGTTCCTGCAATGCAAGAAATCACTGTGCAGGATATATTGGCATTCAGATTATCCCATCCTGCACTTCTGCTGCCTAATACATTCCATACAGGGCAGGAGAAAGGTTTCCTGCTGCTGCTAAGGGCCTTATTCTCCCATTTACTACTTGTTCATTTTAGAGCTGGTGCTCCTGACCTGGCAAAGGTGTTTCTCTGTGCCCTGTGGGTCTCTCCTGACACAGTTTCACCCCAGCTGCAGTCCCAAAATGGCAGAGACCGTGATGCCCCTGCTGGTAACTGCACAGAGAGCAGTGATGCAAAAGCAGGACAGTGTTCAAACAGGCAATGGCTGTGATGATGCTGCCAATGTTTTCCCAGCCACATCTAAACTCTCTCTGGTGATTTTCAGGTAGCATTGATGTAGCATTTCAATGCCCAGCTGGCTGATACCAATCTGAGATTTAAATTCAAACTCCTGAGGGAGTCTGAATTTCTCTTGTTCACTGCATGAGTTGGATACCCAGGGGTTGGATACCCAGGGGTTAACCCTCCTCAGTTTGGAGCAACAATTCACTGCAACAGCAGCAGGAGCTGCGTGCATGCTGTGAGTCTTTGGCAGTGTGCTTTTATTACTGAGTGATTTTTCACCTAAGTAGGAATATCACAACAGTGCAGTGATGTTTACAGACCCAGATATTGATTGGTTTGCAGTGTAACAAATACACATGAGCCTTTTTTGCAATGGAGTGAAACAAGACACTCCAGTCTTTCAGATTAATTGGTCTTTATTGTTGAGTTCATTGTTACCATAACAACTCAGAGAGATGCATCTTCCAAAACACAGCACTGATTCATCTGATACAAGCACCAAGCAAAGACCATTTTATAGAATGATTACTGGGTTTTGTCTTCAAAATTAATGATGATAATGACATTCCAGAGCTTGTGCCAGGTCTGGAAATCTTTCCTACAATATTCCTTGATTTTTGATGAGGATTCTGTTTTCTTCTATACTTTTGCAGTGTGGAATACAAAAAACATCCAGGACAGGAGCAGAAGTAATGCAGCCAGTATTGTTATTGTCACACACTTCTGGCAGTCTTTCTCAAATGATCTCTGAAATACATCTCAGCCTACTCTCAGATATTTATTAAATTGAGCCTTTAGTTTTTATTTCAGGTTTGTCACTAGTAATAATTTTAATTGCATATTGCTTTCAGATGTGCAGCTCCCATCAGCCTCTAATGTTGAGTGGAAGAGATGCATTTTAAATTCACAAGACCATGTTTATGTGAATCTCACCCTCCTCTAGCTGTGTTCTACTTCAGCAATCAATAAAACCAGAATGATTTCCAAAGCATCTCTTGATGCCCTTGGTAAAGCACCTCCCATCCTGCATTATTATCCAGTGGTTCCTAATTCCCTGTTTTTAATCCTTGTAGGATGCTGAGGAGCAACTCCATCAGCTGTATCAACAACGACACCTTTGCTGGCCTGAGCTCAGTGAGGCTCCTGTCTCTGTATGACAATCACATCAGCACCATCACCCCTGGAGCCTTCAGCACTCTGGTCTCTCTGTCCACAATGTAAGTGATTTTTTGTGGGATGAACATGGCATGGTGAGGTTCTTCTATGCTTTCCTTTCAAAAAAGACAATATTTCAGTTTATATGGAAAACATTATCTAGGGAAAGAAAACTCCATCCTACTGAAATCACAGGTTTGGAGGATGCAAGGTGTGATTTTTATTTTTTTTTTTAATTGAATAGTTTCAGCTGGAGTGGCTGAAAACACTTGGAGGTTGCCAGCCTCAGGCAGGATGACTTTGTTTTGCTGTGTCATAGCCCAGTGCAATGTGCAGGAGAAGGTCATGTAAAACAATTTCTGCAGATTCAAGGAGTGTAGCTTAACACACACTCAGCTCCCTGAAGCTGCTTTAGTGTCAGTAGAGTCTGATTTTGTAAGAACAGCTTTCTTGGATTTCAGTTACATTAGTTAAACATCAGAAGTCTACTAGCTGATTCTTTAGATTTTCAGAGCATCTGAAGAAGACAAAACAGTCAAGTCTTACTGAATGTGAATTTGAAAATCCCAGCCTAAGCTTTATTTTAATTCTCTTACACTTCTCAGTCATTCTTTGAAATATTTCTCATGCTTCTTAAGTACTTTAAAATGCTTTTCTAGTGTGTCCATTTTAATAAAGTACAGACTGATAAATATGGAAAGAAACTCTGCCTTTTCTTTCCAACTGTGAGAGGGGACCCTGGTGTTGCTGTTAATGGAAATTGTCTGTCCTGAAAATACAGCCTAATTGTCCAGTCAAAATAAACTCTCAATCCTATTGCATTTCAGGATTGGAAACCATTCTTCATCATGTTTGGGCAAAGAAGGAGGTGTTGAATCTCAGCTGTTTTGTTGCTGACACTTTCCCTTTGCTGTGGCAACTTTTCACCAACAAATCAGTTATCATTTTGGCATTAGCTCCATGCAGCATAAGGAACACAGAATTTTCTTTCCTTTTACATTGTGTAGTCCCAAGAATCTCCTCAAAATTGATGGACAAAGAGAAAAACACAAGCAGATTATTTTTATTGACTGTTTTCAAGTCTCTGGTCAAAGCAAGTGGCACTTGCTGAAAGCTGTTGTCCCTGTGCTGCAGGCAGTGCCTGCTGCTCCTCTGCTCTCTCTGTGCTTCCCTCCGTGGCTCCCTTTGGGCAGGGATTCTCTGAATCAGTCTGTGAAGCCCCTACCTTCCTTTCATAGAATTGTCCTTGTCATATTTTGTTAGAAAATAGCCCATTTTCTTTTTTCAATTGTGGGAAAAGATTGTTGCACTTTCTAGCAAGAGCAATTAAAGCTGCTGCTAATTGGAATGCATGTCTTTGGCACTGATATATAATCCTGTTGGTTCCTAGCTGTGTATTGGTGGAAGAGTTTGTTTTTTGACACATTTCCATTCTGTGTTTGATCTAGAGGCAGAAAAGGTGTGGGTTTGACTTCTTTAGACCCTGGGTTGAGCCATGGTGATTTTTGCCGTACAAATGCAGAATTCAGCTTTGTTCATTCCATGGCAGCACTCTGCTGTGGGTGGATTTACTGGATGACAAACACCACTGAAGTTGGATGGTGTGACTGTTTTCCCTGCTGAGCCCACACTTTGGGAGCTAATGGGGTACTGTAGTGCCTTACTTTCACATCTATCGATGGGAGACAAAAATTCATGCAATGTTCCATTTCCAGTTTTATATTGGCATATTTGCAGCACTAAAGAACATTGTTCCTTTTGTTCTTACCCTTTGTGAGTCAGTCTCCTTGATATTCTCAAAACATGGACAGCTCTGAAAATAATACCCTGTCTAATGATTTTCAATAGAGGAATAACTCCTATTTGGTAGAAAAAGTTGCAATTTTTATGTTGTTGTTGGTCAAACTAGGCACTGTGGTATCTTAATTTGAAGTGCCCTAGCAGTTCTTCACAAGAAAATTCAGTCATGTCTTTTAGTCCTTGCACAGTCAAGGGAGATATTTGCAAGCAGAACTGCTTTTCCATGGATTATTATTAAAATAACTGCATGACTGCATAATGCCAGAATGACATAAAACTATTCTTGTATAAACTTAACCTGAATTCCAGAATATATTTTCAATCTAATTTCAAAAACATCCAGATGTGTTCCAGCATGTTTTTCTAACGGGTCACTAGAATCCATTTAAATAGTTAATATTCTCTGACTTCTTTGTAATTTTGAAGAGGCACTTGTAGTAGGATATACATATTTCATTTCTCAAGACTTCTATTTCCCCTTGATTTTTAAAATATGTCTATGTCCTTGAGTAAACACTTCTGAATTTCATGTTAGTACAAAATCTCTGCTAAAAGTTTGATTGCTGTGTTTCTGTCTGAGTGGATAAATCACTATTGTATGTGTGGGAACTCTGATTATTACTGATGAGTTTTCACATCAATTTTTCTGCCCAACATTACTGTTTCTGATTTGAGAACTCCACTTGAATAGTCAGTTTCCTCAGTAAAGCTTTGACATACAATTAGCTTTTCCAGACTTTCAATTCCATTTCAAGTCAAGTAGGAAATCTCTTTATCTATGTGGTAGTTTAAGGAGGGACTTCATCTTGCATTTCTATCAAAAGTTGCATCGCAGCCTTGCCATGGAAAGAGCATGTATGTGGGGACATGTGTGAATTAAAGCTAAAAATTAAATTAGCTGCATTAAAGCTAAAAATCCCTGCTCTGCAGTTGGAAAAGGATAAAAATCTAGAAGTTGCTAAAGCGGCAGAAGATCATGTGGAATTACTGACAAGATAAATTTGTTCTTTTTCTGCCTGGAGTGATTTGAATTTCTAAATGGGAGATTTGTTTATTTGTTAATTTTATCTGTAACAACCTATTTCTTTCTTACTTCCCAAGAAAAAGCATAATCCAACTTCTAAACTAAAAGAGTCCAAAAATTTTACATTGTACATTAACCTGTGTTTGCCAAGAAGAAAAGGAGGCTTTGTGGATAGTTACATTAAGTCAAAACAATGTCTCCTCTCTAGACAGGGATAATTTCTATTTTTTGATATGGAGCATTTTGTAGATGGAAAGTTTGTGAAAGTTTTTGAAGAGTCTTGGTAAGATGCTCTCTAGATGTGCAAAATATCCTTTACCCTCAGAGCTGCTGGTTTTCCAGAACCCTGATTATACACACCTGCTGTTTGTTCCCAGTGGCAGATTATTCAGTTCTGAGGATTTGTGTGATGGAAGCAGCTCTGTGAACATGATCTCACTCTCTCCCACCAGTGGAACAAATGGCCTTTGAAGCACTGCCTCTCTCAGTGGTTCAGACATTTGGTTCAGGCACTCTGCTCATGCCAAAGTCTATCAGGGTGGAAAATATACAAAGCATCCTGCATGTGGTCCCATTATGGATTAAAGAAAATGGAAAACAATTCAGAAGGAGAGCAGCTAGAATTAGAGTGTTGCTTTCAGTGCTTTTTTGCACCTTCTGTATGAAAGCTCTTGTGTAACCTGTTGGGTTTCTCACCTTTCTGCAGCATTTGAGTCCAAGTGTGAAGCAGGTGGAGTGTTTTTATAACATTATGCTGAGTTTTCTGCTCTCCCCAGTTCTCCTTTCTCCACAAGGTCCATAAGCCTGTGTTAAATCCACATGGGATTAACCCCAGAGCTCCAGGGCAGAGCAGTGATTGAAGTAGGCTGTGCTGCAGTGCTGAGAGCAGCTGTAAATCATATTGTGGCTGTGTGATTTTGGCCTAGAACCTACAGAATTTAGGAGTTGCTTTGGGTTTGCTTTCTAACTGCCCCACCTCAATTGTACCACATGTTTTTGTCTTCAGTACTATTGTTTTCTGAAGGAATTGTTTGGCTGAAGTCCTAATGTGATTTTGACTGCATATTTAGGTTTGTGAAAGCATCTTGTAAGTGAAGACTTAAAAACTACTTCAGCTACTACACCTGCAGTTGAAGTGCCTGCTTCTTGCCTTCAAATTTTGTGTCTTAAAAGATATGCTATGATTTAAAGAAATTTCATTATTATTCACATATTTCTTTCTGTGCTACCAAAATAGTAACTCTTGGGCACATTCATACATGATGTGAATATTCCATCAATATTAGGTTAGAGACTTCATTTTGCATGCACAGGCCCTGACAGCTCATTCTTCTTTGTGACTGAGGCTGTTGGTGCTCCCTCTCTCTGTACACAGCATAAACAGCTCTCCCTTTTTACCAGGGAGCTCAGCCTCTTTCCTTCAGCTGAACTTGAGTTAGGAAGGAGCTGCTGAGCCAGGCTCTGTTCAGGCTCCATCCCTCTCTTGGAGGTGTCAGATGCTGCTTTGGGGGCTGCACACCACAGCACCGTGCCTGGGCTGCAGCTCTGGATGGAAGATAGTTCAGGAGCTGGAGCAAGATTTGAAGCAGACCCCACAAAGTTTACAAGGCAGCAGAACAGATGCTTTTCACCACAGGTACCCAGACCTGAGAAATCTTCATAAGTGGCTCAAGATGACAGTGCTGCTTTATATCTGTATATATGTATATATGTATATTTGTATATATGTATATATGTATATATACAGATATATACAGATATATATATATATATATATATATATGTACATGTATAGCACTTTCCTTGCTGTTTCAGTAGGAACCCCAAATTCACTTGCCAGTGGCTCCCTCCTGGCTCTGGTTTGTGTGGGACAGAGGGGAGTGAGTGCTGGGGCAGGTACATGGTCATGGTGAAGATCATGCATGCACACATGGATGCAGTTTGTGAGGTGAGTTTAGATTTGGGTGTGAGCTGTAGCTTGGGTTGAATTCCACAATAAACCCAGCCCTGGTAGTGATGTATGTATGTTTAAATAATAATTCTAAGCACTTTGGTTTATAAACGTATGTTTATATATGCATAAATATATATATATTTTAATTATAATCCCTAATATAAAACCAGCATGGAACTTTCCAGATCTGCAGGATGGAGGAGGGATCTCACAAGAACACAGGAAAGAGCCTGGACTTGGAGCCCCTCATCTTTCTGTGGTTATTTCAGTATTTCTGTACGTTCATGTGTAATGGAATCATGTTTTGTTCCCTTTCAGTAATTTGCTGGCTAATTCCTTTAATTGTAACTGCCATTTGGCCTGGCTGGGGAAATGGCTGAGGAAGAAGAGAATTGTCAGTGGAAATCCACGCTGCTTGAAGCCCTTTTTCTTGAAGGATATTCCAATCCAAGATGTAGATGTCCAGGACTTCACCTGTGATGGTAAGAAAGTCCAGTTTGTTTTGGCACTTGTGTTAGTGTTGAGAAGGCTCCTCCCTACCAAGCAGTGCTGCACAGGAAACATTTTGATTTGGGGGTGGAAAAGGCAACTACCTAGAGCTGAAGATCACTGTTCTGTATCAGTGATATATTCTTATTCTTGATTTCCTGTTTCTGAATTTCTGCTATCTACAACTAAATTTAATAATTATATTAATTTATTGTAGACAAGTGCCCTGCTTTGTCTAATCCTGGTGTAATCCTGGGCCTTCCTTACTCTGAGTTAACACTGAAACCAGTGGGAGTCTTGGCTTGCTTGGAAAGTCTCTTAGATTTGGATACTGTTCAAGGTCACCAGTAAAAGGTGCATACAGGGAAATAAAAAAGAACCTTAGACATTATTTGAAATGACTCAGTGATGCTTCATGCTTCGTTGGGTCTATGTGGGTTTAAAAGAAAACACTCTGAGATTTCTTTCATTCTCCAGGTAATTTTTGTCTTCTGGTCAAGCAGACTTTAGAGAAACTAGTCAGGAGAATGTTGCTTGATGAATGCCCTGATAACTTGACTTGCAGCTTGTTGAGACCAGAGAGGCTGGAGGTGCAGTTAGTCATACCTCTAAAGAGACAATAAGAGTGATAGAAGTTCCCTACTTAGAGTAAAAATTAATTCCTGTCCTAGTCAAGCAATCTGGCAACAGGCCCAGGTTCTTGAGCTCAGAGCTCAAGAGACCCAATTTTAGTCATAAAAGAATAATTCACTTTTAATTTGAGAGAAAAAAGCCCCAAAACCAACCAGAATCCTGGTCCACAGACTGACATTCCACACTTGGGAGAAAAGAAGAATCCTGGTGCACGAAATGTCATTCCACAGTTGGGAGCTTTCTCTGTCAGGCAGTAACTTGGAATTGAGGCAAATGGAAAGTAGGTGGTGGCAGGGTGTGAAACACAGGGGAAAATTAAATATGCTGAAAAAACATGCTCTTTCTGCAGGTTTATGAAGGACTTTGAATTTTGTTTCCAGTCATTAAACTCAGTGGGGAAGAAAAGAAAAAAAAATCTTCTCTGTTCTTCTGTAGTCTGGTGGTGCCTCCCCAGCCCTCTGAATGCAAATGATTCCTACCCATACAGTCAGGGGTAATCCTGTTATCTTCTACCAGGACTTCCAGTCTTTTTCTTTAATCTCAATGCTCATGGGTGCTTCCAGCAGAGAGAAGAAAGAACCAGATCTGTCTCAATTAGTCCTTGCATCAGTTAGGAGGAAAGAGCAGCCTGGGAGCTCTGGGTCTCAGCTCAGGCTGCCTGTGCTCACACACAGTTTTGTGCTTCCCCTCCCTGTCATCCCCAGAATGTGCCATAAGTGTTTCCTTTCACATCCATGTGATCCTGCAGCAGGCATGTGCCTTATGTTTTGCAAAGCCTGTTGCTTTTGGGGAAAATCCATGCTTTAATGTTCTGAGCTTCAAAGCGTTGCTTTCTACTGCAGAAACCCTATTGTTCTTCAATTACAAGATTTAATCTGCTGTTTATGGACCTTTGAAACCATTTTTGGAGAAAGTTGATATTTTTAAGTGTGCACAGATGGATTGCCAGCAGTTGAAAGTGTGCTGCTTCAGTTTGTTGTTTGCCTGGTTATCGTTGTTGAAAACAATGAGGCTTTACAATTCAGATCATAAACAAAGTGCCAGGCTGACTTTGAAAAGTAAAAAATAAACATCTAACAGCTGAAGACCTTTTAAAAAAGTCTTCCAAAAGGAGAGTAGATAGTGAATATTATCTCTCTAGATTAATTTAAAGGCAATGTGCTGGTCAAGCTCTCCATTTCAGCTGCTGGGGGGAGGACTTGGGATTCATACATTGGCTTGCACTATCATTTGCAGGATTACAAAGTAGATTCTCATTAGGAAAAAAAATATTTTTAAAATATTAAATAATATTTTAAAAATATTAAATAATATTTTAAAATATTTCTATTCAGTTTATGATCTGTTTATGTTGCCTAAAGAGCTTGCATGAGGGGAGGGTGATCCAAAGCACTGGATCTAGTGTAAAATGAAAAGTAAAAAATAAAACATCTAAAAGCTGAATTGTAAAAAAGTCTTCCAAAAGGAGAGTAGATAGTGAATATTATCTCTCTAGATTATTTTAAGGGCAATGTGCTGGTCAAGCTCTCCATTTCAGCTGGTGGGGGAGAACTTGAAATTCATACATTGGATTGCACTATAATTTGCAGAATTACAAAGTAGCTTCTCCTTAGGAAAAAAAATATATATATTAAATAATGTTTTAAAATATGTCTATTCAGTTTATGATCTGTTTATGTTTCCTAAAGAGCTTGCATGAGGGCAGGGTGATGCAAAGAGTTGGATCTCGTGTGAAATGCTGTGATGGTTACCCTGGATTCAGGCTGCCCCTCCCTGGTCCTTGTCACCAGGTACCCTCAGAGTGGGGGCCTTGGGCTGCAGTGCTGATTTCCTCACACCCTGCCTCTGTCCCTGTGCAGGTAATGATGAGAGCAGCTGCCTGCTTTCCCCTCCTTGTCCTTCCCAGTGCACCTGCGTGGACTCCGTGGTTCGCTGCAGCAACAAAGGGCTGCGGATGCTGCCCAAGGGGATTCCCAAGGATGTGACTGAGCTGTAAGTTACCTTTTACTACCCCCTCTCTCGAGAAGTTCATCAAACTGCATCCTAGTGAGGCTTTGTGGGTCCCTGGGGGGTTTGCCTTTGACTTTAGTCATCTGTGCTGTGGTGCTCCCCGTATGTTCTGACCATTATTCTTATTTGTCCCTTGACTGAATAAATCGCTTTGTGACGGGAACAGAGTTTATCTGTCCTTGTAGCCATTAATTCTGGGTGTAGGAACAAATGCATTTATTAGTATCAAATAATCCTGTAGTGCTTCTGTGAGAGCCCAAGCTCGCAACAGGCAGTTTGAAGGGATGATGAAAATATGTTCCTGAGTTACGCAGCTGTGAGCTAATTATCCTCTGAGGAGATTAAAAAAAGGAAAAAAAGGAAGCTGGTGGTGGAAACAAGGAATTCTTTTCTCCAAACCTCATGAAATGGCTAAAATAACAGATAATTAGATTATATTGCAAAGTAAATTCATCCTAGTTTAGAACCATCTTTCTAGTTGTCTTTTCATCCACGCTTCAGTAGGAATTTATAGTGGATTTTCTTTCCATGGAAAGAAAATATCCTGGTGGAACTGCTTGGCTTAAGCAGTTGGCAGTAGAAATACTGAGCTTTTCCCCTTTAGGCCCTTATTCAAATCTATCCCAGGTGAGTCATTACTGAAACTTGTTACAATCTCATCAACATTTCTATGTGAAAATAATTGCTTGAGTTGGTTGGTATGTTTGATGAATTTTATAATGAACTAAAATCTGGTTGTGCTATTTTCTAGTACCTACTATTATTTTTACTCCCTTCACGGGGGGAGAATGGGGCTCACACTGTTTTTACCAGTGCTGTGGACAAATACAAGGCTTTGGGGGTGAATGAGGGTACTGGAAGTGCCTGGGGTAACTCAACATGGAAACTTTGCATTAATGAATGCATCCTTGCAGCACTGTTGACCAGGGCGTGGTTAATGGTGAATTGAATTGAACTGAAAGGCAATTCCTGGCCTGGATTCCTTTATATATTGCCATCAGTGTTAAGAAGTCTGCAAGGTCATCTCTGCTCTGCTTTTGTTCAGGTTTCATTGCATTCAAATGTAACTTGCCAGCAGTAAGGTATCACAGATGTTACTTTGATTTCCACTGCCACACTGAGGAATTTTTATGTTTAAATTTTGCATATTGAGTTCTGCTGATACTATCTGATACCCTGATGACATAGCTTTCACAAAAAGAGTAAATTTAATCTCACATTCTTAAAAACTGCTATATTTCTTAACCATTTCTTGGCAAATGAGGCAATAGCCTGGAAGTGAGCAGTCTGAGTTCATAGAAGTTTACGTGACTGTCTTCTTCAGTAGGAGCCTCTTGGCTGTGCAAAGCTCTAGTTCAGCTTTCTGCTTTCCATCCAAAATGTGTCAGCAGAACACAGACAGCCATGGACTGCCTAGCTCTGAATATTTCATATTCTGCAAATATAACCTTTGAATCTGTCCCAGCTGTCTCAAAATTCAATCCTGATCTCATTCTCCTCTCAACTAACATAAACTGAGCTCCTTATTTGTTTCTAAACCAAAAGATGGGTTGCAGGTACTGAGGCATGAAATTTCATGTGTTTGTGGAAACTGTGACAAGAATGAAGTAAGTAAATAAAAAATAATCAATCTTGCTTGCCTTTCTTCTGCTTCCAGATTGAGACAGAGATATTGTCCATAACCTGCTGCATCATGCAGGTTACAGGTTACCAGTGTGAAGTTACACATTTTTTATTGTTCTGTGTTTGAGAATTCCCGTTGTTGCTGTGATAAGCAGCATCTCCAGTGGGACCCAGCCTCTTGTGTCATCTTGAGGACAGCTGGGACCTGGCAGAGGGAACCCAAAAGCTTCCTGGGCACAGGGTGGAAGAGATTTACCTTGTTCAGTTGCCCAAGGCCAGAGTCTCAGGTGCCAAGGAGGTGCCAAGGAGGTGCCAAGGACATGCAGGACTCCTGTCCCTGTGTCCCACAGCTCCCTCCCTGCAGAGGGCCTGAGCAGGGACAGGATGCACAGGAGCATTTCAGTGCAGTTTTTATGAATGCACCAGTCTGACATTTATAACCTTCCATTGCTGATGTGTTCATCTGCCAGCCACATTGGTTGCAGAGCTTTTTATTAAACTGCAGTGCTTTTGTGCAACATGGTTTAAGAAAAAGAGCTGTCAGGTGTCTGCCTAAACCGCTCTCTTGTGGCTGAATGTAGCCTTCTCATAAATTTCTTTAAATTCTCTTAGAGGTCTTAAAAAAGTCTTAAAGGGGGAATCCTTTCCTTGTAACAGGTATTAAATAGCACTGTGCAAAAATAAGCATACCTCTTGCACAGGCACACAGGGGAAATGTTGCCCTTTCTGGGTCAAATTTCACTGTACACTCAGCAGAGAAGATCCCCAGCAAAGTTTTATTGCAGGGTGGACAGGAGACACAGGCTCACTCCTTTCAGTGCTCATTCTGAGTTTCTGTTCCAATGTATATTTAGACAAGACATGTGAAAACCATTATCTCCTTCACATTTAGAGCTTGGAATGATAGGAGACATCCCTGTGTTTGGTTTGTGCCACCCTTGGGAGCAGGGATTACCTTGGCAGGGAAGGCTTCCATCTAGAACACAGTTGAAAAGATCACTCAGTGCTTTTTAGAGGAATGATGATGCAAGAAACTTCTATTTCCCAGCTTTTCCTTCAGAAAACCCTGTCATCATGGGCAAGCTCTCTTCCAGCTTCTTGGGAATAGGAAAATATTATGTTGTTTCTTGCAAATTCCTTCACTGTATATTCCTCCACTGTATATTTACATACTGCCTACATTTTTTCCCACTGTTTGTTTGCCCTGAAGAGAAACCTTGGGTTTTTTTGAGCATATTCAGTTTTCTGCTCCAGATGTTCAGAAGTAAAATGTTCATGCAATGAGCTAGTTTGGAACTCAGCCTTGCTGCTGCTTAGTGTTTTAGGCTTTCCTTTAATTCTGCTTTTTTCCCCTAAATCTGTTTGAACTTAGTTTCCCATGCTCTTTCTCCTTTTATGTATTACCTCAGTGTGTGAACACTAGATTTTTTTCCTTTTATTCACAAAAGTATAGTCTATTTCTAATAAAGTCTTATCTGACAGCATCCAGCTGCTTTTATGGACCTACAGCAAATAACATTTTGCACTGGGGAAAATCATTGGAGGCAATTTTGTGGACGGTGTGCACAAGCTGTAGCATAATGAGTGTGGTGTGTTTTAGAATAAATATGTACCAATCATGTCATCTCTAGACTCCAAATGTTGTCATGACACTGAGCTATAGGATAGCACTGGTGGGATTGTTAGAAAAACCTGCACTCATACATCACTGTTAGGGATTATTTTCCCTTCCATTTATATCAATGCAGGCTAATATTTGCATTACTTTTGCCATTTCTCTTTCTCTCCTCACAAACCTTCTCTCTCCTCTTGCTGTTCCTTGTTCTGCCTGGTAGGTTCATGTTATCAGTTATCATATTTACTTGGAGGTATTTACCACCAATCCCAACCCTTTTTTTCCAGCTTCCAAGGCACTTGTGATTTCCTTTGACTTGTGACTAAAGCCAGGGGCTTTTACCTGGGCTGTGCTGATCGATGCCTCAAATCTGCCCACAGCAGTTTGGATAGCTGTGGAATATTCTAACAGTTTAGCACCACTTTCAGCTTGATCAAAGGAGAACTCTGGAGTGAGATATTTGATGAAAATCATCTGCTTGCAAATGCAAATTCTCTTGCTTGTCTGGCAATTCACACTGTTTTACACAATGACCCCCAGCACAGGCACCAGGGGCTTTGCCTTTGATAATTAAGGAGAGAAACAATAAGGTTTATGTGGTCCTGCTCATTTTCTGCAGAGGGGGATTCTGCCACTGAGAGAAAGAAGGAGAGTTCTGTGGAGGATATTTTAGTTACAGATGTGTGGTGGGTTCATGTTGGTTAATCACTAGTGCACTTGCTTATTTTCTGCTGTGAGGCAGGATTAGGAGAAAGGCAAAGCAGGCTCAAAGCTTTAAAAGGGTATAAAGAGAAATTTATTAACAGTAACTAAAAGAAAAAGTAATAAGAATCAAAACAAAACCTTCAGAACACTTTTCCTCTCCCTACAACCTTTTCTTTCCCAATGACAATGTAAAGAAACAAAATGTAAAATTTCAGTCTATTTACTACCTCTAGAATAGTCTTTCTTCAGTTTCCTTCTATTTCCTCATGAAATAGAGGAATTAGAGGAATTCTTAAAAGAATCTGCATTTCAAACCTGATAGTTTAGAATGAGTAAATAATATCAATATTATCAAATAACATGTTCAGTGACTGGTAAAGTTTGGGTCCATATCAGAAAGGGGACATTAGCACTTGCAGAGACTAAAGTTTAACTTTCTCTCAAACACAGCCATGTTTGTGTGTCAGACATGAAGGTTGTGCTCTGATGTACAAATACAGCAAAACCCAGAGTCCAAATTTGCCAAAGCTTATGATAGTCCAAGATCCATATTTGAACCTAGATCCACACTTAATTTTTGTTTCCTCTCAAAAAACTCTAATTGAAGCTCTTAAAAATCTTGTTTGTGGATGTTTCGTCTTTCCCAGTCCAATTCTTTTTTAGACCACCATCATTAGGAAATGAAATTTGACTCAAAATTTTAGGATAGTGGGTATGGACATGAATAGTTTTGGAGTGTAACTTAATTTTAGAGCTACATAAAATTGCCAGGTATCTTGGGTTTTGTAATGTAACATTCTTTGTGGAATCTTGAAAGGAAAGGTTTTGTGCCTTTTCAATTACTGCCTGAGAACTGATTTCTCTCTCCAGTTTCTCCTCTTAGCATGGATTGCCACTGCAAGTTTGACTTCATGGCTGAATAGACGCCTCAGTTCAAAAAGGATTCCAAGTGATTCAAATTGTTACACGATGCTCTGGCACCTTGGGCTGGTTGTATCACCTCCAACCCAAGTGGTTTCAGTACAAAAATAGACAAGTTGGAAAAAAGAGCAGCTGTCATCTTTTATGCGTAGTTTTAAATGTTTTATGTGCAATGTTGGTGTGTGTGGAGGATGCTGGATGAGCCCTGGGGCTGCTGCAGCCCCCCTGGCCATGCTGTAGAAGAAACCTGGCCAGGTAGGAAGGTGGTGGCTTTCTTTGAGAGCTGAACACGTATTTTGGGATTTTCTGGTTTGGTTCTTTTTCAATTTTTGCTCTGGCAATTGCTTGTTGGTTACAAGTCATTATTGAGACTTGAGGATTCTCAGCAGCATTCACAGGGTAAACTCCAAAAACCTCCAATCTGATATTTAAATAGAGCCTAGAGACCTTAGGAAGCAAATGAGGTTGTTTTGGATAGCAGTCAGAGTCTATTTTAAGGCAACTGACACTCAGTCTTTACTCTGTATATTAATAACTTGATTCCCAGAATTAAAATTAGACACGTATTTTTCTTCATTCATACCAGAATTTCTTTGCATACCAGACACCATGGACATGATATTCCTTTGGCTAAAGACTGGAAAGAATTAAAAATTTAATCTTCCTTCCACATTGAGTCTTTTATGGCTATTTTGAGGGGCTTTTTGGCAGAGCATCTGGAGCTTCATCTCTGTTTTTTTATTTATATAGATGCATTCATAAATACACAAAGTTTTGTGTCTCTGCCCATTTGCCCTCAGGAATAATTCCTTTATTCACTCTGTCCAGCCCCCTGAGCCCAGCAAGGTGGGGAGGGGGTGCCCTGCACCCCCAGCTCTGCCAGAGGCACCTCCCCTGCTGCAGTTGTTTTCCTCAAATTCAGCATCCCAGCTCCTCCTGATTCTTGGCAAGCTCTTCTGCCCTGAAAGCCTTGGTTATTTCAAATTCCCTGCACTTAAATGTGCTTTCAGAATGAATGCCTTCAGCTTGGAAAATGCTGCCACGTTTTGTGTAATGGGGTGAGAGGTTTAGCAGTGGTGAATTGTTCTTATGGATGCATGAAAAGTGTGTTATCAGTGCTTTTTCAGAGTTAAATTGTGTTTATTCAGAAACTGTACCACTGGTATGAGTATTGCAGTTTTTTGCTAGCACATTTATATAACCATCAAATTGCTGCAGAGCAAATCCAGAGCTATTCAAAGCAGATCTTCTGTAGGAGTTTAACTCCAGGGGTCTGCATGTCTGGGTTAGTCTGAGTCATGAAGCACTGAATTAAAATGTGCACCCTTGACTTTTGATTGCCCCAGCAAGCAGATGAGGAGGAAAGTACTTTGGCTCACAACCATGAGTTTGTTTAAATTGCAGGCTGTTTCATATTGAGATCAACTAGAGAATATCCTGAAAATATGTTCTTGAAGAATTCAACATATTGCAAGAGTCTCCTTTCCTAAAGGAAAATCATATATAACTTCCAAATACATAATACATGACCTGCTTTTGATTTCCTTTAGAAATCCTTAGAATTTTACATTTGGAATAAAGACTAGAGCCCTAACCTGCCCTCTTGCATGGGTTTGAGATTTGTGATTTTCTGGGATGAAGGGGAAGGCACAGACTCCCAGCATCCTTCTGCATCCACAGCAGACCATGGCTGGGGGAAAGAGATGTGGTTTGCCCTGTAAGAAATGTGCCATGCATGTCTAAATACTGAGAATCTCCAGTTTATAGTGGGAAATTACCCAGGAACTCCATTTTCACAATCATTTATAACAGATTCAGCCAAAATGAAGCAAGTGGCTTTCCAGTTGTGGAAAATGTGGATTTCCATGGGAGGTGTAAGTGTGGCACAGCCAGCCTGTCCTCTGGCTGCTGAGACTCTGTCCCTGCTCTGCTGGCTGTGCAACTCTCTCAGTGCTCATGATCATTGGCAGGGAGAGATTAATTAGTTCAGCAGCGTTTTTTAATTGAGAAAGTCATTTCCTTTGGTTAAAAAGTCAGAACTGGTATTCCCACAGTGTCCAGCCTAACCCTGGAGAGGAGTGAGGTGAGCTGCAGTCATGCTCCAGGGGAACTCTGCCAGGATGGGATCCTGTGCACAGGCAGAAGGGATAACTGTGAGCCTGGCTGGAGCAGTTCAGCTGGAGTTCAGTACAAAAAGAGATTTGAAGCAGCAGAAAATGTTGAGAGGTCATTAAGCTGAAAATAAAAGATGGGGAGGGAATAATACCAGCTATAAAATATATTATGTAAGAAATTCTGGGTTATTTTATGGATTTTATTTTTTGAATTATGTAAAAATAAAGTTTGTGGGAAAATATTCTTGGATTTATTTTACACAAGTATCTCTATGCTGTTAAGTTAATGTTGCAAGGGAACATAGAGCACCAGGCTAATCTGTTATTATTGCTGTTTGCTATAGTAAGTGCAGAATAAGGAGGCCTGTTGCCAAAGACAAGGAAATTGTATGTGTGGAATAAAAATTCTTAACATGATTATCAGATTCTGTTTTCAGCAGCAGAGGCAGCACATGAAGTGTTCTGGTGTCTGTGGGCTGCATTTCCTGGCTACACTTGATTATGTTTCAAAACATTCCACATCAATTGCATTGCCCCATGTCTGCCTCAGGAAATATCCCTGCAGCATCATGTAAGGAAGGGAAATATCATTTTCTCTTTCCTCCCACCTGTGGAGGGAGGAATGCATTCCTCCTCCTCCATGGAGCTCTCTGAGAAGGATGGGTTGGTTTCCCAGGCAGATGTTGATTCTGGAAGATGTCTGGAGAAACATCTTGGCCCTGCCATGGCACCACAGTAGTCACTTTGCATTGGAGCTTTATTACTTTGGTATCTTCCATGGGTACCTAAAAGCCAAGGTTAAGGAGCAAAACCTCCAGCTCTGTCTCTGTTTTATTGTGGTAAACAGAGAAATGCCCAAATCCCATTGCTGCCACAGTCAGCTGTGCAGACTGGAGTACCCACGCTCTCTTCTAGGCAAGCTTTTTAAAATTTTTGTGTTTTTTCACGCATTTTTAGTAAGTAACTCACTGATCATGGTTCTTAAGTGGAGAAAAAGGGCAAAATGGAGGGTCTATTTACCTGTATGAGGATTTAGGATTATCCCCAAAGGCCCTACCATGCCTGTGTCTGCATAGAAATAGGTTCAGTGGTGTCTCAAACAATGTCCACACTGGAAACACAAGATATGTTGTTAAATATATTTAGTGCACATAGGAGGAACCTCTGTTCCAAGAGAGTTTGGTCTTTGGTCTTTAATTTATACCAGATTTTCCTCCTGTACCTGCTGTGAAAAGGAGAGGTGAGGGGGGTGTATTGCTGTGGTGGATGTGCCACGTTGTGGATGTGCCATCAAACTTGTGGATGTTTGTGTTGATGCTGGAATTAGTGGGACCTTTTGCAGCACAGAGCTCTGGGAGTGCTGCTCCTCTTCCCATTCTGGCTGCACAGGGACCTTTCATGCTCAGGACAAATGGCAGGGTCAGGGAGCAGTCAGCACTGTTGGAGAGACTTGGGAAAGGTAACTCCAAGTTCAGGGCACAGGCCATGCAGTTTTTCTCCCCTTCTTCAGCTGCTGTCACAGAAGAACCAAGTGGTCATTTCTGTTTGCTGTAGGCCAGAGATCCTTTATGCACTTCCAAGTTTTAAAACAAATAAAGTAAATCAATAAGCTGCTGTTGTGCTTTGCATGTGGGTAATTCATTTATAAAGTAAAAGCTGTTAGAGTTTCAAAGCAATGAATCAAAGATAATTTCATTAATGACTGACTTTATATTGTCCTCATTCGTGGTGCAGATTGAGTGACGTGAGTTCTCCTTAATGTGTTTGTGTAATTGTCAAATGTGACTTTTTTCAGATACTTGGAAGGAAACCATCTGCCTGCTGTGCCGAAGGGGCTCTCTGCCTTCAGACACCTGACACTGATGTAAGAAACACGTGCTTTCAATGTCAGGGAATTTGCATGACTCTTTCTGCACTGTGCTGTTGGTGGAACATAAATAATTGGTATTTGGAGTGGGGTGTGGGGAAAAAAAACCAACACCAAACCCCAAAACCTTCTGTAATTTGAATTTGGAAAGAATTTCACAGTGGACACTGCTGCCAGTAAATGTTCATAAAGAGTGAGGTGCCTGAGAAGCCCCTTGCTCTGCAGGACCCCGAGAGGACAAAACTCTCACACAGACTGCTGCAGTTTCACTTGGCAGATTTATCTGTAAAGGTCATTAGCAGAGGAGGCACATTCATTTGTGCTAGATGAGGCAGTATTTACAATGCTAAGGCAATGACAATTTGCATAGCTGTTTCTTCTGTGAACAGTCATGCAGATAGAGACACAGCTAGGCTTTGTTCTGTAAATTGCTCCCTGAAATACACAGGAGTGACATTCCCTGCCTGAACTATTTATCAGGAATTTTCAAATGCTGTTGGAATCAGCTGTGCAGATACTCCAGTCCAATGGGCTGGGCAGCCTCAGACAAAAATAACATGGATGAAAAACTGGAATGCTTTGCTTTAAGAGTGTTTTTTATTTAGAAACATCTCTAATTTTGCTTTTCAAGGGAGATCAATAGAAAAACAAAATGTTCTGGTTGAGTCTAAAAGACTTTTTTAAATGAAAAATGAAATTTTGTTCTAGTAGCTGTCAATATGATAAGTAGTTGGAAGTGGGGTGCCTTGAATGCATTGCAAAGCAAGTTGGAACAGTAAACATTCAGCAGTGCTTGTAGCATTTATTCATTTGTTCTTTTCATTGAATGCTGTATGCTGGAAAGATGCTTTCATGTTTCTCAGTCTGAGGCTTTTTAGGGGAGTCTGATATGCTTTTCCTTTAGAGTTTATTCAAAGTTGGTCAGAAAATACACCAGTTGATAATATACGACTTTTCAATTGCTTCCAAGCATTTTGCTCTGCAGATATTATGTAATCTTTTTAAAGATTAATTCATCCATGTAAATGATATTTTCTCTGTGTGTTTCTTCAGTGATTTGAGCAACAACAGCATCAGTGTCTTGGCCAATCACACCTTCAGCAACATGACTCAGTTATCGACGCTGTAAGTAGCCCAAAGTTTTGCTAACAGCTTTAATTGCTTTTCCAACACCATCTAAGCTGTTGAGCAATTAGTGCATCCCTTGTTGCTTAAGCATGTGTCTCTCCATGCCTATCTGTGGTTGAATTAGCAGTGAAATAACCAAAGCCAGGCCAGAGTTGTGACTCTGCTCTCCCCTCTGCAGCATCCTGAGTTACAACAGGCTCCGGTGCATCCCCGTCCACGCCTTCACCGGGCTCCGCTCGCTGCGAGTGCTGTAAGTGAATCCCCCAGTGCAGCTCTGCAGGCTGCAGCTGGGGCAGGGAGGCTGCAATGGGCAGGGGGGAATGAATTTTCACATCATTGGTGTCAGTGTATTTCTGCTCTGGTGGAATTTGTCCCATAGAGGCCAGAGCAGGTGAGCTCTAAAGACGCGATTGCGTATTTGCAGGAGGCGTGCAAATTCATTTGTCTGAATTTCCTTCAGGGTTTATTTACATGATGGAGCTTTTACATTATTTACATGATGGAGCTTTTCTCTGAAAGCTCTGGTGCAGGACTGTCACAAATACAGGTGATAGTTCCTGCATCAGAGGAACAATCTCCAAAAAACTTCACAGAATCTGTTTCTGCTGCCTGAACAATGTCTGGGTGCTCCACAGAAGACTTTTCCTTAGTCTGTATGCATTTGGTTATAGAGTGTGAGTTTCCATTGGATGCTTCAGCAAAAGTGTCTTTATGGAAAACTTCTGTGCATTTTCAGAATATTTTCCATTGATTCAGATTGATACAGGCAAGCTAGAATGTGATCTGAAGGGAAGTTAGAAGCTCCCACACTAAATCAGTGAATAAATCAGGCCAGTGGCTGGGCACCAGTAATGCTGAGATGCCTGTCTCAAATGTCCTTAAGTTGTGAATAAAATTACACCTCATATTGACTGGGGGCCTGCTCAGAGATATCCATGTGTGGTTTATTTCTTGGGAGGTCCTTTTCTGCACTCCTCCTTTCTTTCCAGTGTAGCTGCTTTCAGCAGCTTTGTGGATTAAACCATTTGTTTACAATCTCTTGTGAAATTCATCCCCTCATTGTCTCAGAGTGTGGGCTGTGGGCCTGTTCCTCACAGCAAGAGCCTCTCCCAGCTTTCCTCAGGCATCTGCAGGACTGGCTCCTGCCTCTGTCTCATATCCACTGCCTGATCAGAAACAAACCTGGGTTGGTTCTGTGGACACCAGGAAGGTGGAGAAGGAACCTTGCCATGGCCCAGAGACACGAGTGGGTCACCAAGACTTGCACAGTAGCCCAAGGGGATACATTAAATAGCTTGTCTGTGTGAATTGGTTCAGTGTGCCAAAGGAGAAAGAGCTCTGAACACTCAAAGCTCAGGAAAGACAAGCTGAAGATCATTCTGAGTGCTATGAAATTTCACATTGATATTTTCCATTAAAAAAAAAAATAGGTGATGTTCAGATGCAGAAGTTTTTGTTAATTTAAAGAGCAGTGGTTGTTGTGTGTTGGTTCTATAAATGTGGAATCAAAGTGTCAACATGGGCAGTACTGGGACTGTGGAAGCAATAAGCAATAAACTGTGGTTTCAATGGTAAAACAGATATCTCAGTTTCAGCCTCCCAAATTACAAGACAGCTTTGGATTCCCACTTTTCATTAGCAAAACCAAGAAAGATTCGTGATTTGGATTTGTTGCTTTAAGTTTGGCTTGGGATCCTGATTTCTAGCACACTGGGATGGTCACATTTGAGCTGTTACATGAATCCTGAAATTCAGCCACAGATTAATATATTCTGTTTCATGGCCAAATAAATTATTCCATATGGAGCTGTCTTCTGGCCTGCTCCTGAGATGCAAGCTAGCTTGATTAAAGCTGCTGAGGGGCTCTCTACCCTGAATTACAGTGGGGATAAACCATGCCTCCCTCTTTCCAATAGCCACAATTTGTCTTTTCACTTCTGTTCTTGCAGGCCACATATGGGCAGGAACAGAGGGCAGTATTTTAATGACAACTGTTGTTTTTTGGCTTTTTTAAACGATCTGCTAATCAAAAAGTATCTTCCTCCTTCAAGGGAGAAACCCCCCACTGCCTTGCACAGAGCAGTGAAATGGGAATCTCTGCCTCTGCTCCCTGCATTTGGAAGCCTCCAGATTGATTTGATTTATTATGGCCCACAAAACTCTGGTATCAGCTACAACTTTTGCCACGTGTCATCACTGTTGCTACTAAAAATCAATTCTCCAAAGAGAAAATGGTTTCCAAGAGACAATAGGAAATCTGTTACTGTCAGTTTTTTATTATCCATACTCTCAGGGGAACTTAAAAGAGAAAACATCAGCAAAACAATTTTCACTTTTTTTTTTTTTTAATAAAAACAATATAGGGATCTTATTACTTTTGGCTGTGCATGCCTTTGGAGGTAGCAGACCCTTCTCATGAAAGTTTTCCAAATTCCTTTGTTTTCTGTATTTTTGCCTCTATAGTAAATACAGTAAAAAAGTGTTTTGAAAATCAGAATAATCATAGCTGTATGATGCACTTGGTCTTTGACAGATATTTCATTCTGAACTCCCTTTCTTAGATTTTTCAGCACAAGCCCAAGTGAGAAAACTGCAGAGTCAACATGTTTATGTTTAAGCCTTAATATCTATCAGTGTTTACAAAATCAGGTCTTTAATCTCAGCCTTCCCATGGTTTATCCATAACAGCAGCCAAAGGGTGCAGGGGAGCACAGGACATAAAGTCTGGAGAATTTTTTTTTAATAAGCAGAAGTAGGTTTTTGAGCCAAAGCTGTTACAGTGAAAAGTTGTGGATTGGTTTTTCAGTTAATTTCTCCAAAGCTTGTCTTCTTAGAAACTAAATATAAACAGATTAAGGAAGCTGAGATTGAGACAAATTAGAAGTATTAGAGCTCTCTGAATGACCTGAACAGATTATTTTAAAGATCATTGTGTAATCACATGTGTGACTTAGTTAAGAGGCAAAGTCCAAAAATCAAAATAATTCCTAAGGTCACTAAATAATTGTCCATGTTATAGTTAGGGGGAAAAGGGGTAAAATGACCTATTGAATATTCTATTAAGAGATACTCCAGTTTTACTGAAAGCTGATGGATATTTCCTGCAGTTCAAAGCTCAGACAAACACTAGTATGTGTGATGATAAAGCTGTCACCAGTAATCTTTGGGCACAAAGTTTTTGCAGTACACTTTCACTGTTGGGTGCTGCACTGATTTGACCCAACAGAAGCATCTGGCTGGTTTTTATGGGGGGTTTTTTGGTGTTTTGTTTTTTGTGGGTTTTTTTTTCTTTTATCAGAGAATGATTCCTTGTATTTATGCAGTCAGTTTGTAGAAGCTCTGCTGATGTGAGCGTGGAGCAGTGGCACTGTGGCTTTCCCTGCCATCCGAGCTGTGCTGGCTCCTGCAGGCTTTGGCACCCTGGGGGCTCCCTGTGGGTGTTTGCCCTGATGGGATGTGGCTCTGAGAGCTCACATTTCTGTCTTCCCAAAAACACATCCCCCTTGTGTCTGCAGGAGCCCAGGGCTGGGGACAATGGGCTGGCAGGCAGGACGTGGGAAGGGTCCATGAAAGAAAAACAACCAGTAAACCCCAGCCCAAAAGGATTTGTTGAATTAATTTCCTTCCCTGAAGACAAAGGAATAAGTTAGTGAGATTCTGTGTTGAAGGAAGTTTTGATTTCAAGAATTCTCAAGTGTTCTGTTACTGTGTCCTCCAGAGGAGATCCACATCACCTTAAACCCAAACCCTTGCTGTTTACTGGAGCTCAGACAAGAGGATCCCTAGAAGTTGTGCTTTTGAGGGAGAATACACACATCAGTGTGTGCTTTAAATGTCCTAATGTGAAAGGATTTATTTGACCATTTGATTGTAAGGAGATTTGGTACAAAAATGTGTTCCTGATGTTGATCCAAGAGGAAAGATTTTGTTGCACTGTTGAATTCTCTTGCCACTATTTATTATTGTGAGTTTTAGGGGGGGTTTAGCATTTGTCATTTCATTTTAGTTGTAGGAGTGATGATGTTGCTGACATGATTTTTTTATTAAAATGCAGGCACTTGCATCCACGAAACACCTCAGTGTTTGGGACATGTAATAAAGCAAATCCTTCTAAGGGTTTTATTTGATGGGTTTAACTTCTTACAGATAAATGGCTATGTCATTCTTCAGCTTCTCTTGGATGTTTCCAATACACCTAGAAGAGAAAATGTACTCCTTCACAGGATAAATGGGACTGATACAATCTGAAGATTAATATGTCTGTTTACAGAGAATTGTCTTGCAGTTTAAAAGATCAGCAATAAGCTCATTATGAGCAGCTGCTTATTTAAATGTGTTCATTTCATTGACCATTTTGATGACAAGTGGTTGACTAGGTCTCCTCACACCACCAAAATACTCCTTGCTGAATAGCTGTGGGTTTGTCTCACTCAGCTGGTCATTCTGTACAGAATTAGTGTGTTTTATCTGGAGTTACTGTGTGGGAGCTCATATCCTTCCTGTTCCTGTGCAGATTCATTTCTTGGAGATACACCCTTATATATGGCAAGTTATTATTAATAGTCAAAACCAAGGAAGGCTTAAAGGAAAATTTCGGAATCAGGATGTTGGAGGGGCATTGTGTACATCCTGGTGCAGCTGAGAGTGGTGTTAGGGAAGAAAGGTTGCAAAAAACCAGATGCTTTTATTTCACTTAGGGCAGTTGTCTGTTTCCATGGGTTGAGATTTGGATTGTTTTAAACCCAATGTTTCAACAATAGGTACACTCACAGAAGTAAAAACTGTGATTGCTGTGTCAGCTAATCACCAGGTAAGTTAGAAAACAAATGACTCAAGGGTAAGAGCTGCTCCAAACCACACAGCAGCAGCATTCTGCTTTCCACCCTCCTCTGCCATGTCTGGAGCACTGACAGGAATTCCCATCTATGCTTCTCTATGTAACCCATGCACAAATGTGGGTCTTTTCTCATAGAAGAAATAAAGTGGGAAATAAAGAAATAAATTGTCCTGGAAACAGTGGAGAAACCCTTTCACTCCTTTCAAGGGTCCTGAAAATGCTGCTAAAAATTATAATTTCTTTGCACAGGGTGAATAATGTCCTAAAACAACTGATTTCAGGTGCTTTCCTTGGTAGCACAGAGAGGTGGTTTTTACTGTAAGAATAGGAAAGTGTGGCTGTATTTACCCCCAGGGACTCTTGCTCTCTCTCCTAGGATCTCTCTGAAGTCAATAGTTAATTTAACTTCCACAATTCTTATTTCCCCTGCTCTGTTTTTGCTGTGCTTCTGGCTAATGGGATTCTGTAAGAGAACTCAGGTCTGGATGTGAGGGTCCACTTGTCATCAATACATTTTTAATGGCATAAATGGTATGTCACCTTTTTAATTTACAGCAGCACTCACCAACTCTTCTGATTGCATCATTGTTTTAAATGCCAACACCTCGAGGCAGGAGTGATAAACCATGGAAGTTCATGAGTTGTGAAATTCACAGAAACTCTCAAAGAATCAAAATTAAATTAATTTTAAAGCATTTTAAAATTAATTTTGAAGCATCCATTCCTTCAGTTGCAGGGGCCAGACAAAATACTGTGCTTTGATACCTTCCTGCTTCTCCCCCTTCTAGGACACTCCATGGAAATGACATTTCCAGTGTTCCTGAGGGATCTTTCAATGACCTGGTGTCCCTGTCCCATCTGTAAGTACTTCTGCCTGGCTGAATCTCTGGGATTGATGGTTTCAGATTTGTAAAACAGCACATATTGCTAGGATTGTGTAGCTTTTTTGGTTTTCCTGCTCACTTTTGGTAATGTGCTCTGGATATTCATAGTGCATCTGTTCAAAGGAAATAAAAATTTCTAGGACCTGTTGTTATTAGTTATGAAAATATTTTCTTAAGGAAAACCAAATGAGCAAGTGTGACAGTTTTCTCTGCTGTGGACTTTGTGTTTAAGGTTTTCTTTCAGCATTGTCAATGTGAAATGCAGAGCATATTATGGTTTAAGAGTGAGGCAGGAAACCTCCCACAAAGAGCAAATATTAAGCAAATGTGAATTCTTTGCTTAATAAGTGTCATATGTTTTGCATGCTGGAATGTTGTCAGTATATGGACTTGTTGATGAATCACTACTACAGACATATATATTTAATCACATGGAAATTGGTCATTTCACAGCATTAATGCTTCATTCCATAGTTTGCAAAAATTATTAGGCATTTCAGCTTTTTGAGGAAATTACTATTACACTGGTAGAGGGCCAGGAGACTTTCAAATGCAGTTTAGTTGATGAAAGAGCAGACAAAGAGCTGCAATGGCTCCAAACTAAACTTGAGTGACCAGAAAATGCTTTTTCACTGAGATAGCGTGTGATACTTCACACTATTAGATAATTGATGTAGGAAAAGCAATTTTGTGCAGCAAGTTTCTTGATGACTGTCCTCAGTTAATCAGAGGGCTGAGCATGTGCTGGTCCCTCTGTGAAGTGAGTGGTTGCACAGGCTGATACAGATGTTTTCTGCCCTGATGCTGATGTAAACACAAGCAGATATGTGTGCATTTAACATAGGTTTATATCTATTTATTGTTTCTTTTTAACCTTTACCATGCCCTCCAGAACACTTCCCTGAACACCAGATTCAGATTGTATTGAAGTATTTCCTGGGTAGCAGATACATCCCTGGCAGCTTTCTGTCTCTGTTCCTCTATGGACAGTAAAAAATAAAAATATCTCAGATAGGCACAGAAATCATGATAGCAGCTTGGGCAACTTGAGCAGAGAAATAATGAAATAATCTTCTCTGTTTCCAGCTTACACCTCAGTATCATTGGTTTTGCACATTTTTTTTTTTTCCTGTTCCCAGTTTAGTCCAGTCTTTTTGTGTGTTTGGGATTGAAATTCTGGCTGAGCTGAAGCCCTGTTCCTGCTTTTGGGAGTGCAGTGACACCTTCCATACTGGGAATCTGGCTGCTGGGGGTATTTTCAGAACTCCAGGAATAAACATAGCATGTTCCATTTGTTTGAATTTCCCTCAGGGTTTACATTAAATGAAGTGGAGATCCAATTTTCCTGGGTAAACTGTTCACCTTAGGGAGTGATAAAATCCCCTTTGGCCCAATACAATCTCTGCACTCTTTTCTGTTTAGATGTATGTGCTGCCAGAAATGTAAAATACACAAAGCCCAAATGAACAGTAATAAATAGGATCCATAAAATAAATAAGACCTGTCTGGGGTGTAATTTGCACAGTTGAGCAGTTGAATTTTACAGTGCAATTGTGCTCTCCAGTTTCTTAAAGAGGATCCTGAAACTTTTAGGAACCACAATTAATTTTTTCCTCACATGCCTGAAAAAGCTGTGCTTACTCAAAACCATAGAGTCATAATAATTGAAAATAAATGCATTTTGAGCCCCTCCTGATACACTGATCTTCAAGGAGAAAGCAGGCACTTGGGGTCAGTTTGAAAATCATACAAGGACTTGCTATCCTCAAATTCTTAAAGCATGGCAGAACAAAAATTTGTCCTAATTGTGCAAAGTATGTGGCTGAGGGTGGGATTGGTGTTGTGGCAGGGCAGAGCTGAGTGCCAGGGTGTGGAAAGGATGCTCAGCCCAAGCCTCCTGGGGCAGGACAAGGGGGACATCAAACTGGCTTTTAGAATTGCAGAGAGATATTTGTGTGGCATAGACAAAACTATGGATTTTAGTCAGTGTAGCATAGACTATGGATTTTAGTCAGTCTTTTGCAACAGTTTTGACTTGGTCTGTAATTGGAAGAACAAAAGTGAAATCCAGATGGTCCAATCACTTTCTCCATAGCTGTTTAAAGCCTACAGGAACATTTTCACCACATTTCCTTTATGTCATGAACATCATCTCGCTGTAATGGAAATATCATAACAAACTATGCAGCTTTAGCTCACTGAATTTTGAGGTAGGTTTGTGTGTGCTGTACACTGCTTTTGTTTACTCTTTATTACTTTATTTAGTTGAATCACATAATTGTCTATTTAAGCCATGACTCTACTGACATTTTTAATCCAGGGCAATGATAAGAATGCTACAGCACTGCTGTAGGATTTGGTATAATATTACTTTAAAAGAGCCCAAAATCTGCTGGGATGGAGCTGGGACCTTCCCAGTTAGGTCAGGTCCTGCAGTTGCTGTCCTCACCCTTCACTGGTGAGTGTCCCAAGCACTGCTCACACAAACTGACCCTGTGGCACCCCAGGGATTGCACAAACCCTCAGCAATGGATGATGTTGGGTACAGCAGGTATTTCCAAAATATTTCCCATAAACAGCTCAGATTTCTAATCCTGCTGAATTATCTTCTCTTTACTCAAATTTTTATTAACTGCCTATATAAATAAATTGTCCCCTCCTCTTTTTTTCAGCATTGTCATGGATAGAGTTATTTTAATTGACTTTATTCAGAGATGCCCCTAAACAAAACAAGTGTCTGAACAGAAATATCTGCCCAACATTTTGAAAATGCTTCTGGTGGTATTTCCTTACAGCAGAAGATATTTTTACCTTCTGGAAATATTTTGCTATAATAGGCAGGGAAATTGAGAAAGTATGTTAGAACTCATGAATGAAAATACAAGAATTATCTCTGGTTCCTAGAAATAAATTTTTTTAAAAAATCAAAAAAATAACCCCAAACCAAACCAAACCAAACAAAAAAATAAAAGGCAAAAACCCCCAAACAAAGCACAAACCACAAAAAGAAGTGTGGAAGGATACATTTCTGAAGTTATCAACAATGTTATTTGTAATCATTTTTTTGTGACTGTACAGCAGCTTTATTTCTAACATAGTTTATAAATATTAATTAACACAGTAACAAGCTTTCCTTTGTCCTCCCACTCACATTTTATATATGGAAGTTTCTCAACACTAAAATTTCTCAGCTTTCACTGCTGCATTTTGTTTGACCTTGGACAACTGAGCCAGTTGATCACAGTTCCAGGGTCAAAAAGTCAACCCAGTAGTTTTTTTTCCATTGTAAGCAATGGATTTACAGGAGGAGTGGATGGGTATTTTTTAATGCTGAGCTGCAGTACACATTTAATTTTGATGAATGAGCCCCAGACAGGGTTTGAACCCATGAACTCTCATTATGAATCTGTCTAGGGCACAGTGGGTTCATTAGTCACTCCAATAGAAATGTATCAACAAATTTACTGAGGTTTCTATCTTAATGTCCTGCCTGATATGTTTTTATTTGAAAGAAGCTTGAGTTTACAGTACCATCTTAAAAATAGTTTATAGCATATGCAGAATTTTTAAAGTCTAAAAACCTATTTGAATAATTTGTTTCTTTAGTATCTCTTCCTTGTGCTATTCTTTATTTAGCTTATTTTTCTTTCATGTCAATTCAGGTGTTGTACAGCTGAAGTCTTACATTGACTTTAAGCAAAATAAATACAGACTTTCAACATGTATCTCTTCACATTTTAAACAATTAGTTGGCTTCAAACTGTTTTTTCTGAAGTGTAAACTTTGTTTGTAATTGACCGATTGCCTAAAAAGACACTTTCTTTAAGAGAAAGAGAAGTACAAATTAGTCAAGGTAGCACCTAAATTTAAGGTTAAAAGGTTGATTTTCTTTTGGATAGATATCCACTAATAAAGGAAAAAATTCTGAGAATTATAATTTTGCTATATACATGCATCTTCTACAACTGTTTGACCTAACTCAAATGATGGGTCAAGCAGCAAATGTGTTTTCAAAGTCATAAATAAACTTAGCAAGCACTGGGTTGCAGTTTGGAAAATGGAGATATCTTCTGCATATGTGTTTCATCTGGTGAGGAGTCATTAATGTGAGTCATCAGACCCAAACTAAATTACTCAATTCAGGGTTAGAATACGCTCAGGAAGGACAGAGAATTAAAGGGAATCAATGTGATGAATTTGATGAAAGCAATATGTCTGGTGACATTGCTCAAGCACAATTGTTTGAAAAAGGGATTTCTTCTTAGGTGTTTATATAATTTCCCTAACTAATGATGGGAAGAAAGGAGAAGAGCAGGAGATGAAATCTAAAATCCTTCCTGAATACTCAACAGATCTTTTCCTCGTTGGGAAACAATACCATAGAAATGTAGAATAAACCGTGCCTCGCTGAGATCAGAGCTGTTTGCTGTCCTTGCCTGCCAAATAACCTGTGCTAATTGTTGTGCACCTCGAGGGCTCTGGGCACCAACCCCCTGCACTGCGACTGCCACCTGCGCTGGCTCTCCGAGTGGGTCAAGGCGGGCTACAAGGAGCCGGGCATCGCGCGCTGCCGCGGCCCCGAGGCCATGGTGGACAGGCTGCTGCTCACCACGCCCACGCACCACTTCCAGTGCAAAGGTAGGAGCTGGCACCTCTGCCCAAGGCTCTGCCCACTGGGCTGTGCTCTTGCACCCTTGGTTTTGCGGGGCAGTTGGGGTTGGGGTTTGTTTTCCGGAATGCCGTGCTCCTTCCAAGTTGTGTCTGGGGTTTCTGTTGCTGAAATGGCTCCTGAGGTGTTAGAAAGTGTTTTTCTCCCAGCCCCACAACCAAAGAAGAAGTTGAGATTCATCAGTTCTGCTTTTCAAGGTTGTTTATTTTCTCTTATCCATCACATTCTTCCTCTGACCTGCTGAGGTCTGTCCAGCAGCTCAGGTTGGAGCACACTGACCGTCCTTGGGGTGATGTTAACTTTTTATACTAAGAACCACGTCTACTTTATTTACAATAATTTTCCAATACCTATCACCTATGTTAGACAGTCTGTCTCTACTCTAAACCAATCCAGAAGTGTCACCATCAGAGCAGAAGATGGAGGACAAGAAGAAGGAGAAAAAGGACAGGATATGTCCAGACCCCTCCATCTTGCCTCTTGAACCCCCATTCTAAACCTCCAAAATTCTACTTTTTCACCCTGTGACAAATTAACTATCATTCTACTCAAACTCTTGTGGCTTGTAAATCTTCACACAAACCTGGTAATTGTTTCCATGGACTAAAATCAAAGGCACAGATGTTTTTGACTCCATGCCAGGGTCTCAAGTCTTCCAGGGCAGTCAGAGGAATGTCCTGGGTTCCAACAGTTGTGTTTTCTTGTGTTCTTCCCCAAAGTGCAGTTAGCTGCTCCACCAAGGAGAGGAGAAGCACTCCACTCTCCACTAAGGCAGGAGAAGCAGGGAGCCTGAGAGCAGTGAGTGTTCCTGATGCTCACCCCAGGTTATGTAATGGCACATTAGCATATAGGGTGTTGTTAGAACTTATTGGAACAAATAATTTGTTTTGGCCTGTGACTTACCCCCAAAAAATTGAGAAAATAAGAGGTATTATAAATACATAGAGCACTGTAGTTATTATGTACATTTACTTGAAAATTGAGAAACAGAGAATTCTTAAAGCAAATATTTACCAAGAAGTACATTTTCATCTGCAGATCTGCAAACCGTTCCAATCAGTGGCGATTCAGAAACTGTAGATTACAGAAAACGTGTCGTGTTTGAATTCAGTGTGCATTTGTTCAGAAGAGGGTTGGGGGGCAGCTCTGAACAATTCAGGGTGCTCAGTGGCAGGAGTGTACTGCTTTAGAGGGCACTCAGATTATCCACTTTTCTGTGGATGAAATAAGTAGCTCATTAGTGAGTGATGGAGATTAAGACATATCTGCATGTTCTCATAAAAAAAGAGTTTCAGAGTTTTGCTTTGCTTACCAGCAGGAACTTGAAGATGGATCTATATTTATAGCGGAAAAGATGTATCAGTAGCCTCTCTTAGAAATGGAAATGAGGGCATAAAGCCTGTTTTTATGTCTCTCAGAGTACCATGCCCATTTACAGCACTGCTTGGCAGGGTGATTTTATAGGTGCTGGAATTAAACTGCTGAACAAACAAATGGTGGTGTTGGGGTGAGTTTAAAACACAGGTTCCCAAGGCTGAGTGGAATTTTATGTCCTTTCAAATGTATCTTTAATAACTGTAACCTTATAATTTAATTACTTTGAAATGTCAGTCTCAAAACTATCAGAACTCTGACCATAATTATCAAACCAGAGATTTTACAATAGTGTCTCAAATGTGAAGTAGAAATATAAGTACTAAAAATAGCAAATAATGCACTTGCTCCCATGAAGTGAACCAAAGAAAATAATTGATTTTGTATACTACACAGGATCTGAAAATTAAACCAGAAAGAGACTGGCTGTCTTCTTCATTCTGAACCTGTGATATATCAAGAGTTGTGCTCATTTTCTCTCTGAACTAAACAAGCAACTCTTAGGCAAAAGATCAGTACATCTGTGATCCAGGATATTAGATGTAGTTGTATGCTTTCTATGTAAATATTAGATTGGTCCACTAGAAAGCTCATGTTCTTTCTAATATCCCAAACGTCCCCCTAGCTTGCTTTATCTGAACAGAAAAGGAGAAAATAATGTGTTGATTTGGAGTTGGTGTTTGCACAAGCAGAAACAGTTGATGGTCTGGACAAGTGGCAGGAAAGTTCAAGAAGCTCTAAGCCCTTGACAAATTCACCTTTGCTCATGAAAATACAAATATTTTGAAAGCCAGGGCATGGTCTGGCAGTCTCACTGCCCCCTGTTCCCATTGCAGGGAGTGCTGAGCCCTGACCCCAAAACCCTGGGTGCCCACCAAGGGTTGGCCCATGCTGGGCTGGGCACCTTGAGCTGCTGCAGCAAGGTCGTGCTCAGATGTCCTCTGTGACCTCCAGGAACTTTCACATTAGTAAATAATGTAAAAAGTAGTTGAACTTTTTCTTGTTAAAAAATATGTTTTTAGCCCGTGCCTGAGCAGGAGGTTATGTCTCAGCAGAGCCAAGGAAATAAAAGTGTGTTATGTGCAAGTCATGCAAACTCAGCTCTGCTTTTTATTAACTTGCCCTCCCAGCTATGCAGTGGAGGAAAGGAATGTGCTGGGCTGAGGGCATTTTGCTGTATGGATTTATAAATCAAATCCACAAGGGCAAAGTAATGAACTACTTAACTGCTAGGAACTAACACTGTTCTTATTAGCTCCTACATTGATTAGCTTTGATCTATGCCGTAGAAATAAATGGAAAATGTACACGTATTATGAAATAAATAGTAGAACAAATTCTGGCTTACTGACCTCTAAATCTAAAAGAGCAACACTGCTGCCTGTCTCATGAGCTCTCAGAGGAGCCACCTTTGTTTATTCTTAGTTTATTTTACCATGAAGACAAGTGTAACTCAGGTATGTCACGTTCCAGCCCCTGTCAGAGCCAGGAATTTAGATGTGATTTCGTCTTCCAAGATAAAAACATGTATGGCTTTGTGTTTAGACATAAAATAGGATGACAACAGTCCTTCATTTAATTTTTAGAATTTTTTCTTCCTGTGTATTTTTCCCTCAGTGCTGCCTGTGCACTCCCATCAGTCCCTGGTGGCACCACCATCACTGCAGGAGCTGGACACAGCCCAGTGCTGCCACCTGAGACCCTTCAGCCCCCACTTCTGCCATGTTCTTACCCCTGCTGGTGCTCTGCAAGCATTCACAGTGAACATTCATAACTCATGCAGGACAACTCAAAGCAAATCCCTGGCTAGAAGGGAATTTTTCATCCCTAGTTCTGGTGACTCTGGAGCTCCATCTTCTCTTGAACATCAAATTTAAGCTTCTTTTCTTCACTTTCAGGATGTTTCACAATTTACTCCTACCATTTATCATGCAGTAACAAAAGCTCTATGCCCACTTTTGATTAGTACAAGACCAATTTTAAATTATTTTTAAAGGTATTTCCTTGAAAATGAAATAAAATTACTTTAGGGTCTTTACTGCCTGATATAATTTAAGCCACTTTAAAGTGCTAGGTTTCATTTTTTTACATATAAAAGCCAGTGAGTTAATACTTATTATTATTTGAAATGTAGCCATTTAAAAAATCACCATGTTTTATTTAACTGTGAATATAACTGTGAATATAACTGCCTAAATTAGCTTTCTGTAAAGTCTCAACCATAAAGTATTGATTGACTTGGGAGCCCAAATGTAATTAGTGTTATTTTAGTCTGTGTTTATCTTCCTGCTCACCTACAAACTTCACTACTTCTCTGGAAGATTTCTGCTACAAATAGGAGGTTTTTTACATGGTTTAAATATGGCCCTGTTATTTACTTGCATACATTTACATATTTGCATATTTGCCTTTATTGCACTTTGATGAGATAGGTCAGTGTTGATCCTTCTTCTGGGCAGAAAGGGAAGAAAATAAGTTTCAAACTCTAATGTTAAATTAAGGATGGTAGAGCACTTTGCACCTAAATATTCCCATAAGCCTCTAACTAAATCTGTCTTGTACATGGTTTTTATTTATGTTGTTGCATCTGCACTTTCATTCTTGTTATCAGCCATAGAAATGTCAGGTTACAGTTCCCTGGGGCTGCTGTTGCAGGATTTCCAGAACTGAGAAGAGGAAAAATTGCTGAAAGCCATATATATATATAACCCACTCCCTGGAGGTTCCCAACATGCTTTTTTCAGAGCATATGTTTGCATCTTCAGGAGAATATGAGCATCATTGAGACCTGCCTAGCACTTGATTTAAGCACTTAAAGCCTCTCTGATCCCTGGGAATCCCAGTGCACCTGCAGCATGTGCATTTGTGCCAGTGCTTGGGGGAAAGTGTTTGTGTGTGCATGGGGGGTGTTAATTCTGCAATCCAGCTCTCTGCTAACATGTTGGGACCCAGGATGTTCCTCTGGCTGCCCTGGAGGACTCGAGACCCTGGCAGGGGCCTCAGAGACCTTGGCACAGAGTCAAAAACACCTGTGCCTTTGATTTTAGCCCATGGAAACAATTCCCAACTTTGTGTGAGGAGTTACAAGCTACAAGGGTTTGAGTAGAATGATAGTGAATTTACCACAGGGTGAAAAAGTAGAATTTTGGGGATTTAGAATGAATTCAAGAGGCAAGATGGAGGAATCTCAGCGTGTTCTGTCTTTCTCCTTCTTCTTCTTGGCCTCCATCTTCTGCTGTGATGTTGGCACTTTTGGATTGGTTTAGAGTAGAAACAAACTGTCTAACATAGGTGATAGGTATTGGAAAATTATTGTAAATAAAGTACAGGTGGTTTTTAGTATAAAAAGACAATACCACCCTGAGAGCAGTCAGAGTGCCTCAAACTGACCTGCTGGACAGACCTCAGCAGGTCAGACAGACAATGTATTAGATAAGAGCAAATAAACAACCTTGAGAGCCAGAGCCAAGGAATTCTGCCTTCTTCTTTGCTCTCAGGGCTGGGAAAAAGGGGCTTTCCCACCTTGGGGTGATCTCCACACCAGAGACCCCATCACTAACTCTGTGTCTGCCTCTGCAGAGCCCGTGGATCTCAGTGTGGTGTCCAAGTGCAACCCCTGCCTCTCCAGCCCCTGCAAGAACAATGGGACGTGCAGCAGTGACCCCGTGGAGCTCTACCAGTGCACCTGCCCTTTTGGGTTCAAGGTATGGCTCCAAGGAACTGCATGAGGAGCAAGGAGCTGCTCCCCATCACTTGTGGTTCTGTAGTGGTTGTCCTGTGAGGAGCTGATTTTACAAGCACTGGGCTCCAAGGTTCCTTGCTCAAGCAGGTTGTGTGTGACTTTTCAGCTGTGCCCTGCCACAAATTTCATCCTGTGCAGTTGGAAGGGCTTTGCTTTGTGCTGTGACTGCACAGACCATCCTGGGAAATTTGCTGTGGGTGCTCCTGTTTTGAGCAGGGTGGTTGGGCTGTAGAACCTCCAGAGGTCCCTTCCAGCCATGGGCATTCTCTGATTCTGGGATGTAGATATCCATATAAAATGCCAAGTTGGTTTTATCTTCCTTTTAGTTTCTTTTTTTCTGCCAGCAACCAGATCACCATTTCACAGGCTCCCAGACAAAGGAAAGGCAGTTCAGGTGACAATTCAGGGCCAGGTTGGTCCATGGTGACAGAATGTTGACACCTGGTAATTTACACCCACCTTCCACAGACTGATGAGCAGAAGGGTGACCCCTGACCAGACACAACCCCTAAATCTGCTGTCTCTGAATTCAGAGCACTAAAGTCCACAGAGGGGTCTGCAAATATGAATCCTGTGGATTCCCATTGTGGGCTTCCTGAAAACACAATGGGAAATGGGAAAGTATCTGAGTAAAGCAGTTTCTTCAGCAGTGATGGATAACTCCCCTTGTTCACTGTGAGAGCTTCAGGACACCAGGGCACTGTCCCAGAGCTGATGTAGCTGGAAATCCACCTCAGGAGTCAGTAGCTGAAGGACTAAGTAATAAATGAGTAATAAATATGATCTGTTCACAGCCTGGGGGGTTTCAGGTGCTATGGCCAGCATAGGCTGCATCCTGCAGATTGGGATTTTATTATTGTCCTCGTTGGATACTTCTTACAGTCCTGGTCAGTTGAAACAGATGCTCATAAAACACAAAATAATAAGAATTATAGGGGAAAAAGGAGGGCAAAAGCAGACATTCATGTGGGAAGTCAGCACAAGTATCTGTGTGTTACATTTCAGGTAGGATTTAGGAATTAATTGGTTCTGATGATATCACCATGTCCCTTCTCTGTTTTCCTGGGATGCATCCCAGGGTAATTGACAGATCCCTGAAATATTGGGAAAGAGAAAATATAAAGCTTATTTCTTCTATTTCACCCCAGTGTCCTACTCAAGAATAATAACAGTTCTCCTAAATAATAGAAAAAGCATTGGAGATTTTCTGTCATTAGAAATCTTTCTACCCAGTGGCATACCAGAAACTTTTCTAGGATTTAAAGGACCATATTGTCCAAAATCTGTTTACCTTAAGCTACTTGATAACAATCTATTTATCTCCTCAGGCCAATAAGAAAATGGTCATTTTAATTTCATTTTTAACATAAATTACATTGAATTCTTCAAATGGGAACTTGAAAAGTAAATTATTTCGGAACTAGCAGGTGAACACATAAGTCTTTGCATATACCTTATCTTTAAGACATGTATCATGGAGCAGGCATCCAGGTTATTCTAAGTAAAAATGTGTTATGAGCTTACCTTCTCTTTTTGGCCCTCAGATTTTTGTTTGCTGGTTGTTTTTGGTTTTTTTTGCAGTATCCCTTATTCACTGGGATAGATTAGATAAAAAGTTACTGGTATAGATGCATTTATATTGCTAAAAGACATGTTTATGAAGGGAAGATTAACTAAAAAGAAAAATCCAGAATAAGCCTCCAGTTTATCAGCACATTGTAGTGTGCATGAAACCCAGGATGTGTCGTTTTCCTTGGAGGGGTTTTGGTAAACACTTGATGTGGCTCAGTTTAAACATCTCACAGAGCATCCAGCTTTTCTCCTCTCTCACACACTCTTAGGTGACATCAGTGTGTGAATGCAAAACCCAAAACCACTGTGAGCTTGTAAGCTCCAAGCTGCCAGCCAAGCGTGGCAAAGAGCAAACAGACTGGGCATGGCACTGGGAGCAGGGTTTAAAAATACTGGCCAACAGTTCAGGGAGAATTGGTGGAAATTGAATAAGCAAAAAATGAACTGTGTGTCTTTACCACAGGTTTTTGAATAAAAATGAAATATGACAGGTTCCAAATGCAAACCATATGAAGGGAGCACTCTATCTACCACGCAGTTCTCCACCAGAGATTCATGCTAATTCAATAACAATACCTTGCTTCCTTCTCACCAGCCAGCACCAAACAGCTCCATCCATCTGGAAGCTATTTCCCAGACCTTGATAAATTGCCCTAAATCTGCCCTCTCAGCATTTGTTTTTCCTTGTTTGATGTAGATTTTAAAAAAATCCTCTGTGGAAGAGTGCATCAATAAAGTGAAAAACCCACCCTTTTCCCAAATTTAAGCTGACGGCTTCGTAATGTTCCCTGCGAAGGGGCAGGCATTACAAGAGGCTTTCTGGGGTTCCTGTGCTCATGCCAGCCTTCAGAAAAACACAGAAAGTCCCCTCAGTTACCAGCTGCCAGAGTGGGGCCTGATGGATCAGGACACTCCCCCAGTTATCTGCATTCTCCAAGCTTGTGGTCTGGTTTTTGCTGTCACACTGATGGCAGTTCCATCTCTTACTTCTCATGCTCACAGAGAGGTTTTGGCTATTGAATGTATACTTTGTGGGGCTTTTAGCAATTTCAGTGCTGCCCTTGATGGTTTGGGTAAACTCAAAGTGAGATAAGTCATGGACCACCTGAGCTGCGAGGGGCAAGGCTGAGCTGATAATGATCTTTGCTGCTGCTCTTGCCTTCAAATGGGTGATCAAAGTGCTTGTTGGAGATAAACCATGGCTGCCACAGTGCTGTTGTGGCTGTGCTTTGGGGAGAAAGCCCCAGGGAGGCTTTCTTGGCACCTCCAGCATCTGGCAGGAGCTCCAGGGTGCCAGCAGTGCTGGCAGGAGCTGGTTCTCCATGTTATTAAACTCATGTTTTCATATTAAACACAGGCATAGGGGTCATTTTCCAGTGGGTTGGGGTTTTTTCTCTTCTCCATAGCATTCTTTGAATGATGATTTAAATAATATGTGTGGTTTAGATTGTAAAGTCTGATTGTAAGTGGAGAGATGGAGATTTCTCCTGCTGGAAATGCTGCTGGCCACCTGCAAAAGGCAGTGAGTGTGAGTGCAGCTGGGGCTGGGAAACAGATAACAGGAACCTACCAGTTCATTGATTCTGTAGAGTCTGTGGCTTGTAAGTATTCCCACTGATACTGCAAAACTGAGTCCATGGGTGTTGGAATTCAAGAGATTAATCAAGCTTGCAATCAATAAGCTATTGGAAAAAACTTCACTTGAATAACTGTAGCAAAAACTAAAGTGACTGAAGCCAACACTCCATGTATTTTGTCATTGCTTTACTCTGAATATGCCCTTTTGGGGTTTTTTGGCTGATTTTTGTCTTTTATATTTTCTTTTTCTTAAAATTGCAGTAGCAACAAATAAAGAATAATTTGCTTACTTTCAAATAGAATTACTTGTAGAACTGGGGAAATAGTCTAACATACATTTTTGTTTTGCCTGAAATGAAAGAACATTGCCAAGCCAGAATAGGAAGTGCAGTGCCTGCCTAGGAATGTCCTCTGATTGCTCAGGTAAAGGAGCCAGAGCTGCTGGAAAGCAGATGTTTGTCACCTCTGGGTCCTGCTGTCACTGAAAGCTGTCTGAAATGGAAAGTGAAGATGGGTAAAATTGGCACAGCTCACATCCCTCACTCCAGGCACCAGATGCTGATGCATGTCTGTGCTAGAGTTGCTCTAAATTTTATCCAAATCTCTTCACCTCCCTGTTGAGTTCAGCCAGTGTCCTGACTTTTCCTGCAGACCTGGGGTGTCTTGAGGGTTCAGGCAATTTCACCAATCATCCAGAATGACAGATACAATTGGAAAAATCCTGGGTAAAGCTCTTGGGCTTTGGAGAGACAGCATTCTTTGCAGCCAGACTCTTGTGGTGGGAGGCATTACAGTGAAGCCAGAATGATATTTAGTGAGGAAGCTGGCTCCAAATTTCTGCTAGGAATCTGGCTCTTCCCCCTCCCCACACCCCCCACGCCTGGTTTTTGTCCCTGGAAACAAGTTTAGAAGTGGAGGGTCCCAGAGCAGGATGGCTCTGGGAAATGGGACATTCACACAAATCCCATGTTGTGCACTGATAAAAATTCAGTGCCAGCCCTTGAGGGGGTCAGTGCAGCTGAGCAGGAGCTGTGGCTGCTGAGCACGAGGCTGACAGGAGATTTTCTCAGCACTGTCCCCATGCCACAGGTGCTGCCCTGGCTGTAGCCCTGGCTCCTGGGGTGCACTGGCCCTGCTGTGCTTGGAGCAGGGGTTATTTATTTATTTATTTATTTATTTATTTATTTATTTATTTATTTATTCATTCATTCATTCATTCATTTAAATAAATAAATAAATAAATAAATAAAATATAATATTAATATATTATAATTATCATATTATATACATTAATATATTATATTAAGTATGTAATATATTATATATTATAAATATATATTATTATATAATTATATTATATATTAATATTATATAATATATAATATATATTAATAACATATAATAATAAAATTATTTATTTATTTATTTATTTATTTATTTATTTATTTATTTAGATAAATTTGCACTTTACCACAGCGAGCTTTTGCAGCCTTACACCAATAATCTGTGAGAGCCCTGCAGCAGGGACAGCCTGGGGAGAGGATTCAGCCCAGAGCTCAGCATGGCTCTGGGGGTGTTTGCTCATCTGTTCCAACAGGGCAAGTTCTCAGTGATGCTGGCTTGGGTGGGGTTGAGTGGCTGTAAGCCAGGGCAGAGTTTGGCTTTTGCTGTGCCTGGTTGGTCAGGCTGATCCTGTGGGCAGATGTAGCTCTGTGCTTTTGTTTCCTTGGCTCTATTAACACACACTTGGGTCCCCATTATTGTGGGAAATTTAGGACTCCTGACTAATATGATTAAGCAGAAGCTATTCAT